CCACGTACTATTGTCGCACACGCATAGGAGGAAGCATGGCGAGAAAGGCGCCCAGCGGTAAGTCAACGGACGTGTACTTCTCAAGTAGGTCTAGTACTGAGATACGCTTGTTGAACGCCTCTTCGGAGTCCTTTGCAAGATTCTTCAGGGCTTCTTTCTCAGCTTCGTCTTTTGCGGCTTCAGCTAGAGTGCTTATATTCTACGATGTTGTTAGCTGGGCTCCTGACGATACAAGATTGAGATATGTAGTCTTTTAGCTTACCCTCTTTGTTGCCGGTTGGGATAGTTCCACGTAAGCGCCGAAGATGTCGTGGGCGGGTAGTGATGCGTTGGTTGGGAGGGAGGTCATTCCGTCGCTGTCGATGGTAATATGCGCATCCCATGGGAGATGGAACTTACGCATGGCCCGCTCGACGATCTGCTTAGGGTTGATGGGCAGGACCGCCAGGTAGTCACCAGCTCGGTATGTTTCGTCGCTTGGGAGCACGATTTCGATGTGCTTCTTGACGGGTTCTCCATCGGCTGTCAACGTGCGAGTGTCGACTACCAAGCCTTCCATGACGTCCTGTCGGAGGGTGGATGTACGTGGGCTCGTCACCGATACTTTCAGGCCGGAAGCCGGCGATAGGTCCGTCTCAACCTCAGACGTACCGTATTGCTTGTTAAGCGATGACCAAAGCACCTCATCCTCCCACGCTTCAAAGTCTGCGAAAGCGTCACCGTTTCCAACGTCGGTGAGTCCCAAATTTGCGATGCGAGTAGCGCCACCTTCTTCAAGCTTGCTATCTACCAACTTCGGTATCCTGTGGAAGGTCTGAGCCCAGTCGTGGTGGCCGACGCCGAAGACGGTGTATTGCACACCTTCAAATACGGTCTTGTCTTTGATACTCTCTAGCCAAGACACGAAATGAGCAGCGTTATCCGGTGGTGCTCCCTCGTATGAAGCGGTGACTATGACGATCGGTTGCCCCTTAGGTAGGTTTCCATTCGCGGTATCCAAGATATCAAGCTTGGAAACCTTGTATCCCTGGCGCGATGCGTCGCTAGCTACTCTTTGAGCAAGGGCCTCGCAAGTGCCGCTGTTGCTTCCATACAGGACTGTGATAGGCTTTCCGCTACCGTCAGCAGCAGACGTCAAAGAGTTGTTTAATGAGAGTCCGTTCAGGCCGTCCGCTGGTGATTCGGGTGTTCCAGCCAGGCGATGCTCCAGTCGGCCCGGAGTCATTCCGTCGCGGAGGGTTGCCCTCATGCGGAAACCCTTCGGCTTGATAGTCAAAGTTTGCTTAATGGCCAGGGTATAAGACGGGTCATCAAGGACGAAGTTGAAGTTTTGCAGAAGCATGGCTATGGCCAAAGTGGCCTCCTGCCAGGCAAACGGACGACCGATACACTAATAGAGTGTTAGTAATGTACTAATATTCATACCGCATCATCACTTACGGCTCGAAGGCCATTGCCAAAAGGCTTCCACGCGTTTTTGGGAAGCTTGTTGAACGGTTCGTCCAGCATGCGCTCCGGCTTAAACTCCTCGGCATCCTCGCCGTACACAGCCGGGTCCAAGTGCATCTTCTTTACCATGAGAACAGTCATCTCGTCCTTCTTTACCGGGTATTTTCCGGCGAGGAGAGTATCCTCCCTGGGTGTGACACCGATCTGGGGAATGGGAGAACATAATCTTAGCGTTTCACGCATCACCTAAATGTGTGTTAGTATAATCTTTTCTCCGTGCTGACTGATGCGCATGTGAGGCGAGATAGGGATTTTGGATTCTTGACTTACAGCTGAAATGTACGGGAGCTTAGACATGTGCTCGACTGTGATGGGACCTTTCCCGATAACAGTGTCGACCTCTTGTTGGGCCTTTCGGTAAGCCTCGGGGTGTTTCAGGAGTTCAAAGAACACAAACGAAAGCAATCCCGAGGTCGTTTCGTGACCGGCGATGAGGAATGTAATCAAATTGTCGGTGATACTTGTATCAGTCATGTGCTGTCCAGTTTTAGGGTCCACGCCGTTAAGCATGGCACCGAGAAGATCCTTCCGGTTGGACGGGTTGCGTTTACGCTCTTGGAGAACTTCGTCGGACGTCTTTCGTAAGACTTCGATATCCTCCCAGTACTTGGCGTCTTCATTTCGGTAAAACCAGGTGGGCATCGTTCTGTTCGGCCTGTTGCCGGACTCGGTGAGGAAATCACCCATGGCTGCAACGAACGGATGAAGCTCTGAGGTATAGTAGCTGTTGAAGCGATAGCCCATCGAGCAAAGAGCGAGCGTGTCAAGCGCAAGACGAGTGAAGTCTTCAGTAACGTCGATCGGGTTTGAAGGTCCATATCGAGCCCATTTCATAGAAAGCTGAGTCGCAATCTCGTGCATCTCGTCAAACATGCCCCGAATCGATAAGGGGCCAAATGCAGGCATCAAAACTATCTAATGTGAGCATAACTGAAGCTTCCTGGGGTTCTGGTAGACGAACCTCGATGAGCGATACCCCAATTAGGCTCTTCTGGCCGGGCCTATGGTCTTGATCAACATCTCGTGTCACCATTGTTGACTGTAAGCTAACTCACTGTGAATAAACCGTCATGAACACCATTTCGAATTTCATTAAGAGCAGATTTGGGAATTTTAACAAAACGCTTCTCATCGCAAAGCTCATCCACGAGACGGTGGCTTGAAGAAACTACGAGCGACCTTCCAGGAAGGCGAAGTCGGTATATCTCACCTGTATGAAGACATTAGTTTGAAAATCCGACGAAAAACAGGAACTCGTTCCGATGATACTCACCATACTTATCAGCAAGCGAAATAAATGAACGTAAGGGAAGCTCTCGATCAATCTCGGTAACGTGGCCTAGGAAAGGTAGACTTGGTGGCTCTGGGATAGGCGTTATTTCTGACATTGTATCACTTTCACTGTTGCTAGGATCACTGTTGCTTTGTCGAAGAGTTAGGATTGAAGGCCACTCGATGTTCATACTGTCCAAAGTAAATCGTCTCTAGGATAGGAACCCTAGAGACTTTATATGTATAAGGAGGTTATAGAAATGTTATATGTATTCGTGTACTATAGAGCTCAGCCTCCGGTAGGCTTTGGTAAACCCCGAATCGCCGTCGGTAACTTGTGGCTACCTGGGTAGGAGGAGGTATTCAGTCGTCAGGGTTGCGAATTGTGCAGGCCGATTGAGTGACGCAAACAAGCGGGCGAAGGAAATACGAGCAAACGGGTTAACAAACAACTTATGCGCTTTGTTTAACGTGAACAGAAATACATATGCTTACTTATCCGATTTATTGCGCTGCTATGATATGTACCACTTAGTAATGAGTGTTTTTTGTTTCCTCCTCATTTTTTCTCTCTCGAGAACATGCTGAATGAACCGAGGCATGTTTCCTATTTTGTCGATCCACTTGGGCCGTGACGAAACGGAAAGGTCGCAATACACATCTTCAAGTCTCGACTTCATAGGTTATCCACTCGACTTCCCTGTCATGTTTCTAAGCAACACTGCCATGTGCCGACCATTGAATGAGCTGGAATCCGTATTGTGCGCTAAGAAAGGCGGTCCATATCGATTATAATGCATTAGTGTGCAAGGCAATCCCGTTGGCATAAGACTAGTTGGACGGAAATGAGAAGATGAGCAAGTGAACCTCGGTCGTTTTGGCCAAGTCCAACAGGTTTTTTTATGGGTGGGCTGATAACCATCAGGCACTAAGAGGACGGGATAGCCGTGCCGTATCGTATTACCTATCCGATAACTGTAGTGTACATTCATTAATATCTAATTTTTGAAGCCTCCTATTAAATCGCTTCCATTACGTGGGTACCTACCTCATGTAGGTAAGCCCCTGCAACTCGGATAGTCCTACCTAGGTACCTAAGGTAGGCACTAAAAATGGAACAAGTTTACGTGATCAAAAGATAACTTTTACAGGTAGATATTAGGGCAAGCGGTTTAGTTGATTCTACATAACTACCTACCTAAATTAGGCTTAAGATATAGAGGGGACCTCCCCAATATAGCCTTCTGTAAAGGATCCGCCATAGCTTAGCTACCTAACTGTAAGTGCACATATCGTCGTATATAATCCAAGAAGACAGGCCAACACAACTTATTTCCTACCTACCCATATCAATGTTGAGCGAACATCGCCCATCATATTCCGTACATTTCTATCGCATAAACATGTCTGCTTTGTCGAACGATCCAGACTCGTTTTCTTCGGATGAGCTAACCTACATGTATTCTATTCCCGTGGTGAACGCCCCCTGAATCTTGAACCGCGGCTTAACCCCCGGCATGGATACTTCCAATGATAGGTACCTACGCCATGTCGGCGAGTCGGCACTCCCGTCTCATAAATCTACACCGCCCGGGTTAACACCCCGGACCAATTTATTATCCCGTTGCACGATGCGATGCATACCATTTTTATCTAATCAACACGATACCTTCCCGCAACTAGACGTCTAACCCGATATGCGGCACTCCAGAGCGATTATTACCGATATGATGACGCAGCATTTGGGGGCTATGTATGTATGTATATCTTACAGGCCGTAAGATGCAGAATCCGTTCGGCAATCAATGCCGATTGTCAGACGTGAAACCTTCCATAGCTTTTCTACCGGCATGACGTGCAGGAATTATATCCTTACTCTGCATTGATATGTACAGTATGTGGTCGCCTTTGCATCTACGGCTAGCGTGATCCCGGAGGATAAGAGATAGCAACGAAATATTCTATAGGTTAGCGGCTTGGCAACAGCTTATAAGAAAATAGTACGATTAGCCCCTGAAATGGACCAAGGAAGACAACAAGGTAGGTTGGATCAACACAGAATGAATTTAGACGATAGCACAAGAGAATACTAATGCATGATAGTTGGCTAAATGTCGTTATTTACTAATCCATACTCTCTTATTGACAACTTGCCCATGAATCGTTTATCACACGATGCCCAACTTACAATCCAACCAGCCTGCCAGCTTTAGGTCTAATTACTTCGTCTGTACTGGATTCGCAGCTTTCTTTTTCTTCTTTGACGTCCCAGCTTCAGCGCCGTCGGGAACGTCGGTTTCAACTTCCGCTCCGTGACCCTTCTTCTCGGGGATCTTAATAGCATCTTCGTCCCAGACTTCCAGCTGAATCGAGTCTTTGCGAAGCTCTGTAGCGTCTCGAAACACGCCTAGAGGTGCCGTTCTTTGCGTCTTGGATAACCGCGCTACGACAACAAGCCCGGAACCCGGTGGTGTTAGCGCTGCCTCGAAGTCTGCCGGCTTCGCGCACTGCGGCGAGATGGCCAGGTAGCACCCTGGCCCGGATGAGCGATTCTGAGCCTGATAGGCTGAGCTGTAGTTGACCACTGGAAACGTGATATGATGTGATTTGCCGGGATAGACGTAAATCTCCGGGTAAGCCATCCCCGGATGGAGGTGCTGTGGTACGGCTAGCGGTGGCAATTGGTATGTCGTTCGGGACTCCGAGTCCGATCTTCTCGTGCTACTTCTTCTGGAGGTTCTGATCTCATGGCGCTCTTGTCGGATATTTGCGGCTACATTGCCCCCGGCGACTTCTGAGTGAGAATATCTTAGATCCATACGTCGAGATAGCCTGAGTGTGACACATGGGTCGCACGAACAGAGCTGTGGCTCATGCGGAAAAGGTGAGAAGGGAATAGGGGTGACGTGAGGAGAAAATAGTGACTGTCTCATAGAAGGGGTAGTGTTATTGCCCAGGTGTGAGTTGTTAGACATGATAAATTCTTATTTATCTTACCTATTTTGCTGGACTGATGAGACTTAGAGCGGTCTCCGATGACGAAACACATATTTGTAGACAGGAAATTGCTGTGATGACCTCTGGTATTTGGTCCAGGACTGTCCAGATATGCAAGGCCTTCTCTTTGTATGTGAGGTACCGTACTTAGGCATGGAAGTAATAGGACAAGAGAACTTAGTTGATCTCTTTGCCGCAGAAAGATATCAACAAGAGAAAAATGTGTTGAGTGCCTATAACTAGTCTCCTGACTATTCGTGCAAATGTTACGTATATCAATGGGAAGTCATATGTAGTGTTAATAAAGCGAAGAATATACCGGAACTGCAATGCAAGCTTTAAGAAAGTCCAGGCGTGTTAAAAAGAGCCTTGGATTATGTTGCAGTCATTGAACGTATACCTAGGTAGTTGCCTAGTCAGGTTTCAGAAAGGGGATTTTGTTTTCGCAAGGAGTCAGTCAATGGAAACTGATAGTTCGCCTAGTTTCCTCAGATAGGTACCTCTTATGAGTCTTTTTGCCTGGTCTATTCCCCGAATAAAACTTGCAGGTCTGTTTAGGAATATCTATTTTGATATCCATCTATGATCCTGGCATCGAGGTATCGTATGTAAATTTATTTTCGAATACACAATCTTAATCGTTTTATAGGTAGGTTGAACCATTGCCCGAGTACTTTCACTTTAACTGAGAGTATTCTTCTTTGGGCTACATAGGACAGCTATGTACCTGATTATAGTTGAATATAAATCCCATCAATTTATCCTTTGCACATAATTTCGTTTCTTCGAGTTAATAATCAAGGTAGCCTATTGGGCTATATAGAAGTCGAGCTAGGATTGGGTTAAGTGCGTACTTATTTATAAACTTTTGGAATTGAAGTTGGCTCTTTGATTATTGCAGTTAATGGGAGTTGTTCTCTAGTTTATCTGATATGATAAATTCCATATTGTAATGTATTATGACTCTTGTATTTTGCCTTTTGATATGGATTAGATGGAAGTTCCTTGGTGTCTCCTTCTTATTCGAACCTTTAAAATATCTTAGTGGGGTACTTGAATTATGTAATGGTAGTAGGCACCAGTGGCACGTGCACGAATCGCGCTAATCAATTCCATTAAAGATTGTAGGGACTAGTTCCAAACGTCGGCGCGTCATAATTCGCGTCAAGCATTTTGGCACATCTTTCACTCTTCCTATAAAAATACTACCTCCTTTTTACCAACACCACCGACCTTCTTCTTGATCCCTGAACTAGGGCTGGGTAATACTCCGAACTTGAGTAGCATGCCGGATATCCGTTCTTTCTTCGGGGCCAAGGGCGGTGCCCCGGCCTCTTCGAAGCCAGCTACAAAGAAGACGGTCGAAGAACCGCCGAAGAAACGCACCAGTGCGTATCCCTCGAAATTGAGCGGTTAACTTAGAAGCTAACGATACATAATTAGAGGGACGGAAGGTCGTGGATGATAGTGATGAGGATGAGGATGAGGATGTAGTTGCAGAGTAAGCAGAATAATTCTAATCTATCAAGATGAAATTGATTGAAGTTGACCGGCTCTGAAGGACAAAGAAACCAACTACTAGGTCAACTCCTAAGAAAGCGGCGTGAGTGCCATTCTTATAATATACACACATTAGTATCCAACTAAAATTCAGCGTTAGCGACAAGGTGCAAGGGACAGCTACTACGGCGAGTGAATACTTCGCATCGAGCAAATCGAAGAATCAGCCAGCCGTGAAGCCTGATACAAAGCCGCAGTCGCAGCCAAAGCCCAAAGTTGAAGTCCGGTCGAGTCCGAGAAACAAGAAGACCATAGCAAAGGACGCTGCAGCCCCGAGCAAGGATAGTGAGACCACGTCAAAGAAGCGTCCTGCGAGCAAACTTAAGCGATACGACTTAGACGAGGAGGAGGATGCTTTCATGGACGACGACGCAGATGCTGGTGACGACATATTCGCTGCGGATGCCAAGAGTCGTAATAAGCGAAAGAACGACGATTACGTCGAGGAGGATAGCGAAGAGGAGTTCCTTCCTAAACCCAAAAGAATTGCTTCTCGTGCCAAGCCAGCAGTTGAGGATAGCAAGCCTACTACGTCAAAACCTTCGAAGAGTAACGTGGCCTCAAATTCAGCGAAGAAGAGGAAGACACCCGAGTCCGAACCTAGTGAGGAAGAAGATGACGATGACGAGCCTCCATCTCGTAAGAAGCCGGCAGCGAAGAAGCCCAGGGCGCCGAGAGCCAAGAAGGTGGACGAACCAGAGAGCGCAGAGATCCAGGCGATATTGGACGATATCCCTACGGTTAGGCCACCGACGCCGCCAGCCAAGGACCCCGATGCCAAGTTCGACTGGAGAAAGGCGGCAGCAGGAGGGGGAAATAGTGGTCCCCCACCGAATCCCATTGCGGAATTACCTGAGGGTGAGGAAGATTGTCTTGCCGGCCTAAACTTTGTTTTCACTGGGCAATTGACTACCATTGCTCGCGAGGAAGCTCAATCGTTGGTAAAGCGACACGGTGGAAAGATCACTGGCGCCCCAAGTAGTAAAACTAGCTACGTGGTACTGGGTGAGGATGCTGGGCCCAGCAAGCTTGCGAAAATCCGCCAGCATGGTATCAAGACGATCAACGAGGAGGGCTTGTTCGAGCTCATTCGTCGCCTACCCGCTGGAGGTGGAAATGGAAAAAATGCCGAAAAGGCCCGGGAAAAGAAAAGACTAGAGGAAGAAAAGATCAAAGAAGATGCCGCCCAGATGGAACGAGAAGAAAAGGCCCGAAAAGTCGAGGCCGAGAAAGCACGGAAAGCAGCCGTCGCGCGAGGCGCTGGTCCTTCTCCGGCAGCGCCAGCCCCCGTTTCTCAGCTATGGACCGTGAAATATGCTCCAACCCAGCCAAATCACATCTGTGGTAACAAGGCAGCGGTCGAGAGTATCCAGAGCTTTTTGAGGAACTGGCATAAGTCACGTAAATATCACTTTGAGAGGCTTGGTGCAGATGGCATCGGCGGCCATCGCGCCATTATCCTTTCCGGCCCCCCAGGTATTGGCAAAACAACAGCTGCCCATCTAGCTGCTAAGCTTGAAGGCTTCGACGTTATAGAGAGCAACGCCAGCGACACGCGTAGTAAAAAGCTTGTGGAATCTGGAGTAAGTGAAGTTATGAATAACACATCCCTGCGTGGCTATTTTGCAGGAGACGGGAAGAAGGTAGATCAGGAAAAAAAGAATATTGTCCTTATTATGGACGAAGTTGACGGAATGTCCGCTGGCGACCGTGGGGGTGTGGGTGCTCTTGCGAAGTTCTGCAAAAAGACCGAGGTGCCTCTGATTCTTATTTGCAACGAGCGAGGACTGCCCAAGATGAAGCCCTTCGACCATGTGGCGTACAACGTCAAGTTTCAACGCCCAACGATCAACCAGATCCGCTCACGTATGATGACTATATGTCATAGAGAAGGGCTGAAACTGTCGCCGCAGGTGCTTGAAGCGCTCATTGAAGGCAGCAACCGGGATATCAGGCAGATTGTTAATATGCTATCCACGATCAAGCTAGATCAGACCTCTATAGATTACAGTCAGGGCAAGGATATGTCGAAGGCCTGGGAGAAGTCGATAGTGCTGAAGCCGTGGGATATCTGTCAGAAAATGCTCGGCGGCGGTTTATTCTCCCCCGCAAGCAAAGCGACCCTTAACGACAAGATTGAGCTCTACTTCAACGATCACGAGTTCAGCTACTTGATGATACAAGAAAACTATTTGAAAACCAAGCCGGCTGCTCTAAACCAGTCTCAGTATAAGAACAAGCGCGAGCATAATCTCAAAGCTCTAGAGATGTTCGATATGGCAGCAGAAAGTATTAGCGACGGCGACTTGGTGGATCGGATGATTCACGGTCCCCAACAGCACTGGAGCCTGATGCCTACTCATGCGGTCTTTAGTACGGTTCGACCAGCTAGCTTTGTGGCTGGCCAGCTTCAAAATTCTAATCTCTTCACAACCTGGCTTGGCAACAACAGCAAATACGGCAGGTTGGGTAGATATCTTCGTGAAATTCATTCGCACATGCGACTCAGGTCCTCTGGTGACCATCACGAGGTTCGCCAAGAGTACTTGCCAGTGCTCTGGATACGGCTTATCAAAAGACTTGCTGACGAAGGCAAGACATCTGTCGACGAAGTTATCGACTTAATGGACAGCTATTTTCTCACTAGAGAGGATTTCGACTCTATTAAGGAACTTGGCGTTGGCCCTCAAAACGAAGAGAGTGTTAACATTGAAACCCAGACTAAGGCTACTTTTACTAGACTGTAAGTCAGACTTGCGCAACGGCATTATATCCGTAGGCTAATCTTTATAGGTACAACACGAGGTCACACCCAATTCCTTTCATGAAGGCCAGTGGCGTGGTAGCTCCGAAGGCAGTTTCAAAAGATAAGCCAGATCTCGAGGAGGCAATGGAAGAAGATGATGCAGACGCAGATGCAGCAGAGGCCGTCGAGGTCGATAATGATGATGACGACGATGGCGACATTGAGAAAGACAAGTATATCAAAAAGCCGAAGGCTAAGCCTGCGAAGAGAGGCGGCAAGAAAGCTGCTGCAGCCGAGGGCGGAGATGAAGACGGGAAGCCAGCAAAGGGCCGCAAGGGCAAGGCTGGTGGAGCTAAAGGCAAAGCAAAAAAGTGAGATCTACCACATATTATCACGACTTACGTGGACTGAGCCTGTCTTGCTTTGCTGTTATTATCTCTTAGGCTTTAGGGCAATATCATTCTTAGAAGAGAATGGAGTCGATGATGCATGCATTTTTAAATCACGAATTCAGGGGCAAAGGGGGTTGTTCTTGGAATCTTCGCATGTATTAAGCACCTAAATATAGGCCTACCGAGAAGTTCTTCTAATCAATAATTATATATTCTACAGGATATGCTTCTAGATATTGATAAGTGCAGCTAGGCATGCTGACTTTGACTTGACTTAGCGTAGCAACCTGATGTAGGCCGACAACAACACTACCTTGGATACTAACTACCTAAGACGTATGCACTTCCCCCAGGAGGGTTACGGGTGTTCAGTGTCTATCTGCAGTTTCAGGGAGCTATAGGGGACTTAGGTACTGTATTGTAATTAACCCGTTGTGATAAGCAAACTTAGTACCGGAGCAACGCAGTGTTCTTAGTTGTGAATTTCGTTGTGGTGGGAGATAACGATTTCCGACTTCCTTCTTTCCTGTTTCTTTCTTTCCTACTCTTTTCTCCTTACACCTTTACAACCTTCCGTTTTGCACCTTACACCTACATCCTCAACACCTCAACACCTCAACTCACATTCCGTTACCATTCCATTTATTTTCCTATTTCCTCCTATTAGCCAACAATAGCACACAACCTTCTGCGACTGGGTTTAATTGTGCCTGGTCGCTCCTGTTGTTGTCAAAACACCTTCATCACCTATTCCTACCCCTTGATCACTACGCCATCTCTATTTGTCGGCGTCCTTCGCCGTTTCTCTCGTCACCCAATACTCTGGGCTCTTCTTCACCATGTGTAGACCCAAGCATAAACCATCGTCCCTTAGTCCGAACCTTTCTACCGAAAGCGAAGGTTAGTTCCCCTTACAAGCCATCCTTAGTAGCTACTTTAACTAATAACAATACTCAACATTATAGTATCAGGCCCGTCCATCATGTGTTCAGAATTTGATTTAGCCTCATACAGCGATGCGGGATCAAATTTCCACTTCTTTGGCGACATATCGGGGGATGAGGATGACCTGGGCGGAGTGTCTACGCCCTGGATCCCTCCGTTTGAGGACTATCCTCTTACAGGAACACCTGAGATGATCTTTGAAAATTCCAGAGTAGGTGCTGGCCCAAGCGGTACATCTCAGCAGTTCGTCCCTGGCTGTTCTGCCAGCAAGCCGATCGGAGATGAAGATAAGCAGACGATTTCCAATGCGATGATGCAGGCATACATAGCTATGCGTGGTCCAGATATGGGAGAAATCACCGACCCTCTGTTTGATTGGATCCAATTTCACACCGAAGAGATAGCTCGTAAAGCAGCATCTCAACCTCATGGCAACTCTAACCCTCCTGACAACCCCAGAGATGTCACTAAGTATGTTATCTTAAAGGTATTCCCGATATAGACACGTCGCACTGACACGTGTATCTTCTAGGATGTTGAATTATATGGATAAGGCTATCGAATCCGATAACATGGGCGGTGATTCTCCCCGTGACGCTATATTTGAGCTTCAGAAGCCGTCGATTAGCCACATCGCTCCCCCAGCTGCGATGAACCTTTTGCCTCACCGCAGGGTTTACTCAGCAACGGATAATCGTCCCCCTGTATGGGGAGATGATGAAGACGATGATGAAGGCGCCATTCCTACTGGCCGTCTTTCGCCTTGCACTTTCCTCCACTGGTCGCAGGATTGTAAGCCTTGGGTTCGTAGAGAGATTATGGACCCTAGAAACGTAAGTTTAATGGTTCCTTTCTCCTTTTTTGCGCTGTCTGCTTTGGAATAGTTGTTAATCAAGTATTTGTTTAGATCCTTGCTACTGCCGAACGAACGCGCCCAATGGGGCCCGTACCGGCCAGGGACCATTATCCCTACTACCTTGAGGATGCACAGGCTCAGAGGGACTACTACACCGGAGAGGAATTCTCCCCTCTTTATCAAGTCCCCCATAGCCCGTCTCTCATCTACACGCCTCCTGGTTTGCCTAGCATCTCATATGCTCCGACCACATTCCTAGCGCAATATGATCGCATGGCTCCTCTGGATGCCAGGAAGCTCCGAGACCATGTGTATGGCAAGACAGAGAAAAGCATGCCACCTACTAGTACAAATGACAAGTTCACAAACGTATGTTGAGTCTTAACCCATTTTATCTATCATATGCCAGGTAATCAGAGCACATTTATTGAGCCGTGACTAACATAACAATTTCTTCACAGACTGAGGTCAATGATGTTGCCAACAGAATCACCAGATCTGACGGTGGTGGTATTCCCGGTTCAGAGATTTACGCTTTTCTCAGGGCTCAATACCAAGCTATCTCAAAGGAGCAGGCTGAGGATGAGACTCTCCGTAAGAGGATCTCGGCACAAGCCAAGAGGATCCACGAACTCGAGATTGAGCGAGACAGTCTCCGAGAACACTTTATCCCTCTTCTGAAGCAAAAACGCTCAGAGTACCGCGCAGAGCAAGAACACCGCGCATTGCGAGCGCTTCAGGAGCAACGCGGCATTCGCGATGATCGCATCCGCGAGCATCTGGGAAACCACGTTCGTGAGGTGCAACTGATACTTGACCGCTCATACATGCAACGAAGCGAGTCGAAGCAGAAGTTCAAGGCGAACCAGCAGCGCCTGGCGCAACTGGAGCAGGAGATCGGCGAGGATTGTCTCTTAGCTGGAACAAGTCCTCAGGGCATTTATGATGAACTCAACGGCCTTATCCCACCTCCTCGAGTCCCTGCGTGGTCGGTGACAAGAGGGATGAGCCACAGCGCTGAGAGCTTCTGCCGTGCCCTTGATGGTAATAACACCTATCCAACTAATGCCGCTGCTAAACAGCCCGAAATGCGGATCAAGGAAGAGCCTAGAATGAGAGACGTTGATTCCATTTCTGGACATACTCTTGTTGACCCTATGGGTGATTGTTCATGGGCATCCCTCTCGCTAGATGTCGGCCACACTGTCCGTGATCATATTAGTAGCCGTGACCATTCTCTGTCTTCCCCAAATAAGACAACATCCCCTGGCGGGCCCGGGTCCCTAGGTGAATATGCCGGTGGTCCATACCGGGCATCATACTGTGGGCGTGATGAACCTATTACATTCGGTAGTCTGCCAATGCCCAACCCTCGCATGAATACTACCGCTCATGATACTGTCCCTGGCAAAACCGAGGAGAGTTCCTCTGTCCAGGAAAGCCGTAAAGAAAAGGGCAAGAGCTTGTCCCATATTCGAGGTCCTAACGAGCGTATCTGCTTTGCTCCTCCCCAGGACAAACCTGAACCGATTGATCGCTCTTATTATGATTAATCAGGTTGCCTCTTTATGACACGAAATCAGCATGCTGGTACCATATTTCCGTTGGCCTGTCGCAGGTTGCATTAAACTTCTTTGATCTCAGTCGGTTGTCTTGAATTTGGGTCACAATTGCTTGTGACTTAGTTTGCCTTTCCCTTTTTTTTCTGTTTCTGACGGGATCGCCGATAGCGGCAATCTGTCTATCTCCTTTTTACTCCATCGGATCGCCGATGCGTCAGCAACTTGACCCGATCAATATGACGGTCTTGATTTGCTAGGATGGCATATCGCCTTCGAGAATCGATTCTTTGCACACTCCCCTATTAGGGATTGACAATGATGAAGTTGTCTACTAAGATATGAAATGACAGAGATGTCTCTTTTTAACACCAACCTTCATACTTCCCTATTCGGAGTTGTATGGTAATTTTGGTGTCTACTGAGACACCAAGTGGCAAATGCGTCTGTTTTCTTTTGAAACTAACATTCACCTGATCACACTATGATCTTTACAATTTGCACCACCTTCATCATCCTCAGTAGCCAGCTAGGCCTTTGAGGGGCTGGTCTTTCAACTTTCCTTTCGTGAAAAATTGCGTTGCTTTTTACTGTTATTGAGGAACAAATTTCCCAATACAAAATTAATGGTTGACAAGTTTCGGAATTCAAAAGGGCCGGATTCGCATATAATGAGACAATTCATGGATGGATGGAGGGAGGGGCGACGTTGAGTACGGATGATGAACTGCTTTGCTTGATACATATAGGTAAATACCTACCTAACCCAGGTACTATTCTTTGTGCTTGGATGAGCTTAATTGACAACGGAATTCCTTTGTTGCAATCTTAGTTGCAAATGCTCTACAAAATGCCCAGTGTAGTACGTGACGAGTATAACAAGAACACACTTTAATAATTATATCCCCCTCGTAGCCCAACAAGAGCCACTACAGCGGCCACTATAAGAACTTGAACTAACTCCTATGATACAAATGCAACGTAGAATGCGCAATTTAACGCCCTAATCAAATCGTACATGAGAGTATTTGAAATGGCCCTTTGACTTGGAAAACTGCGTACTGCGTGTAGCGTTTATACTATTACTAGAACCGCCCATGAGCCGACAACAGAAACAGTATTACCACCGACTACGATTCTCCCTTTCATACTCATCCTCATTATACCCCTCCCATTCAGCCCTCATCCTACTCATATCAACCTCGCTCCTAGTACCCTGTCCCACAACCCGACTCCCCTCAAACGTAATCCCCATCCAATCCAGCTTGCCCTCCACTTTTCCACCTCCGAGGAATCGGATCGACCCGTGATTGGAGTCTCCATATATCATCGGTCCTTCGAGCTCCTGCCCGCGCCAGGTAAATCCCAATGACTCGGTGGAAGACTGCCACGGCCGTTGGGGGAGGCGCATGACGCCGCTGACGATGCCGAGGTCGAAACGCCCCCAGAGCTCGGTCCCGCTTAGGGTGAAGACTAGCGAGAAGTTGATGTGGCCCCATTCGGAAGTCACGAAGTCGCTGGTCAGCACGTACCGCCCGTTGAGCAGGCCTAGGGGCTTGAGGTCCTCGTCGTCGTCGTCGTGCAGGTCGGCACTGTTCCGGTACGAACTGCTGGGGTAGCCGTATCCGTCGTCGCTGTCTTCGTATTTGACGTCGTCGTTGTCGTCGTCGTACTCCCTCTTCACGGGGGACGGGCTGTTGCTGCTGCCGCCTCGGCCTCCGGTCGCCCGGCCCCGGCCGCGAAGGGCAAATTGGGAGGGCCGCGCGGGTTGGGGGGTCGATGCTGTTGATGTTGCCGCGCTGCTCTCGCGGCCGAGGCCTTGGTGGATTCCCCCGCGACGGGCCGTCCACCCGGTCAGAGGAGCTTTTGCAGCGGTGGTTTTGGTGGTGGTAGTTTTTGACACGGTGGTTTTTGAAACTGTAGTTTTGGAGGCAGTGGTCTTGGATGTAGTAGTTGTTGAAGCTGCCTTCGGGGTGGCAGCCGCCTTTGGAGTCTTGGGCTTGGCCTCCGTCTTCTTCGCGGCTTTGGGCGGTGCAGCAGTAGCTGCTGGTTTAGTAGGTGTCTTGGCCTTCTTATTCGAATTGCTAGCAGAGACGGTGACGTTGATACCGCCGACGCTAACAGTCACATCGACATTCGAAGACTCAGCCTTGCGCTTGGCACCGGTAGCCTTGGGCGCGGGTGAAGAGGTAGCGTCCTTGAATGCTTTTTTAGCCTCGCGCTCCTTTTTGATCCATTCCTTCTTCAGCTCCGACTCCAATTTCTGGATATGAGCCGGGACGGAAAGATTTCCCGCGTTGACGGCGTCGAAGAGACGCATGCGAGCCACGGCCTTTGTTTTGGAGACCTGCAGACCGTAGTGGATGAGCTGGGCCTCGAACCAATGGGCCGGGTGATCCTTCTCGGAGCCGGACCTGAAGTGGTCTTTGAGCTCCGCTACGGTGGCACGCCGATGCCGGTTGTGGCCGCTCGCCTCGGCGAATAGATCTCCGGCGTAGGAGAATCCGTCCTTTGAGATGGGCGATGCTAGCGACATGGCTGCAATTAATTGTTGTCAACAGGTAACAATTCGATTCTAGACGGACTCGAACAGGTGAATAAGTTTGTAACATACCTAATCGAAGGAATTATGTTTGCGATAGCTTAAATTTTAAACGCTTGTCTTCCTTTTGACTGGCTGCCTGAAGTTGCGCGCATACAGATGTACAGTTACTTTGTTACGGATGACCCCTTTTACAAGTTTTGTCCAAAGAGAACTCCTTGTTATGCACTGACCATCAATGGAAACAATGTTATTAACGAATCTTGACAAGGATCTCCACGGACAAAACTTTGAGGGGAAGCTAATTGGCTTTGGTACTATGTCGGTCTGTGCTCAGTTTTATCAACTGGCATACTGTATGTTTCCATGTGAACACTGAAGTTTATTGGATAGTACATAGTACTAGGTATTGTGAAAAGTGACCGGAGTAGTACTGCTGAGATTCAATTATCTTTTAATGCTACCCAGACTCTCAAGCTACATTGAGTTGAGTTGTGTTAGCTAATTGTTAGCTAATAGGTAGTAATTTGGGCACATATGATAAACGTGAATAAGGTACCTATGACTTCGGCACAATTATATATAATTCCATTGCTTGCGCACCTTCAATATCGGATACGAAGAGGATATATTCATTAGATGGTAATCGCCTCGGCCCAATGATTTCATAACCGCTCTACATAACGTAAAACCCCAGGGTCCATATAGATCGGGAAGCTGTGATATTAACAGCCAAGCCATGCCATGCCATGCCATGCTATGCCATGCATGTATACCTCGTAAGCAGGGAATCTCCCGCCGACCGCCTTTTTTTCATGAGAGGAGCATTTTTATATACATTACCCAACGCCAACCCCGTCGTGGTGGTATACAAAGTCTTTCGTATTATACAGTGAGAAATCGGGTTCGTTCATATCGTTTATTGGCTCTTAACCACGCCGACCTTGGCGGCTCGGAGCACTCTTCCGTTTAGCTTGAATCCCTTCTGCTGAACGTGGAAGACGGTGTTATCTTCCTTGCCTGGCATTGGGGTCATGAAGGTTGCCTCGTGTTCGTTAGGGTTGAACTTCTCTCCCTCGGGATCGAATCGTTCTAGGCCGTGCTTAGAGAGGGTCTGGAGCATGTTGGTCTCGGTCATCTTGACACCTTCGTAAAAATTGATCAGATCCTCGTTCTTCTGCTCCTCTTCCATGGTCTTGATCTTCTCTTGACCCATTGTCAGAGCCCTGTCCAAGTTATCGACGCTATCGACTAAATCTTTAGCGAACTTTTGGATAGCAAAGTCGCGTGCTGCCTTCATATCTCTCTGTGTTCGATCCTGAAGGTTTCGGAACTCGGCTACCGACCGTAGATATTTGTCCTGCATGAATTGTTAGGTCCCAGCTTTAGGTATATGATATGGTGCACTTGGCGCATTCACCTTCCAGTCGATGACCTCTTTTTCTTTGGCTTCTAATTTTTTCTTGAGCTCAGCCTCAGCATCTGATGGTTTGGCTGCCTCGCTATCCTGTGCTTCTACCTGCGCAGTTGGCCCTTCGTCTTCCTTTTTTGCAGCTGATTCCGGTTGGTCGCTATACCATCTTGTGCTTCGTAGAGGACTTAAAGGTGCCGGTGAGAATTGTGTCCGTAGTAAAGGCCGTTGGGCAATTGTTCTCGAGTTGGAGCAAACAGCTCTAGCCGACTTGGAAATTACTTGTTTTAACATGATGACGTGTGTGAGGGGAGGAGTGAGTATATGCCGTTCGAGGGCGGAAGGGTAGGATAGGAACCTCGAGCTGGGGCAATAAACCTTTGCAAGAATAATTTTTTGGCAAGAGCTTTTGCCCATTTGCCCGCGCCTGCAATGGGTGGTGTCACTTGCCTGTCAAGTGACAGTATGGATTGCCTAGCACTTGCCAAGCACTTGCCAGTTGTGACACACCTTTCTGCCCCTCATCACCGCCCCACACACTTCCATAAATACCTGGCCTCCCCCTCCAAATTTTACAATCTTTTTCTTCCTTTCTTCTTTAGCTCTCTTTGCCTTTTGGCTTAGATCAAGTGTAGTATCTGTTCTTTTCAGTTTAATCTCTGAAAGAGTCCTACTGGACTCAATCGTGATTATTCTAATTTTTGTCCTTAGGGAGCGCATCCTCTGGGCTTGCCCATGATCGCTTCCACCGTGTCCCTGGTATTACACTGCCTCCAGGTGACGCTAACTTTCATTGCTATATCTGGCTTGCCCAGGGTCGCGAAGATGGTTGTCAATAGTCTAGCGTATTGAAACGGGTTGCAATCGCTACTTAAATATAATTGCACTACGAATTTGTATGCAGTAGTCATGATGAATCTCCCAATAGATTGAAACCTTATCTCTGTTGTTCAAGCTGGCAGTTATATCTAAAGTTTGAAACTTTCGGACTATCACTTCCTTTCTACAGTAGCGGTGAATTGGCATATTCTATGTTTTTTGTCTTTCAATAGTTATCTTGTCACTTTCGAGGACTCGAATTAATGTCCACGAATTCAGAGTCCGTAGTCGCAATACGTCATACACAATCAACAATTCTAAGTTTTCTTCACCATTAACTAAGCTCAATATTCCTGGAGAATTACATAATATACACTTAGCCTTGCATATGTATTTAAGCCACACTTCCTCCACTAGCGCGTTTCCGCCACTGAAAGATGGGCACTAAGCTGCTCGTAGCGCCCGCCAATTAGGTCCTGATGCGGGTGCTTAGGTGGGTTATTTCGAAATCTTTCAGCCTTGACAACTCTCTAGGTTAAGCTTTCTCATCCTTTCATAATCACACCGCAAAAGACAACCAAGCATACTTTCGCCCTTTAGGAACAGTTATTACATTGTCACATTTAGTCTAAACCCCCCCCACAAAGACCTTCAGTTCAGAGTTACGCGCAGCTTGTGCTGCATCAGTCGCCATGATGGAATACGATACTATGATGGATAGTGATTTTAAGGAGGATTTTGGACCCAAGATTCAGGTGTCGGCAGTATGAGATGTTACCATTGCCATGCTCAGAAGACTCTAGTCCTAATCATACTTCTCCATAGGCTGACCGATATCACGTCGATTTCGAGCTGAGTAATGTCGACATATCTCTCGCGAACTCCCTCCGACGCGTCATGCACGCCGAAGTCCCAACAATCGCTATTGACCTTGTCGAAATTGAAGCCAACACATCCGTCCTTGCCGACGAATTCATCAGCCATCGTCTCGGCTTAATTCCTCTGAACTCCAGCGAAATTGATAATCTGTCCTACTCGCGGGATTGCGACTGCGAGCAGAACTGTGAAAGATGTAGTGTGACCCTCTCCCTACACGCGAAGTGCACGAGCGACGAAGTTATGAAGGTGTATGCTAGCGATCTAGTTGTTGGATTTAACCGACCTAACAGCGAGATTGGCAACCCTGTCATCACAGACCCCGACGGACTCGGTTCTTTAATATGCAAGCTGCGGAAGGGCCAGGAGCTGAAGCTCAACTGCATCGCGAAAAAGGGTATCGCAAAAGAGCATGCTAAATGGTCTCCTACTTCTGCCATCGGCTTCGAATACGATCCACATAACAAGCTCCATCATCTGGACTTGTGGTACGAGACAGATGCTGAGGCTGAGTGGTTGGTATCCTGGCACCTAATGTATTTGTTTCAAGGTAATTAACTGTAGTGCTAGGCCGAAGTCGAAGTATGCCGATATTGAGGAGCCGCCTGCTGAGGGCCAACCCTTCGACTACGATGCTGTCCCGTCGCGATTCTACTTCGAGGTCGAAGGCATTGGAAACATCCAATCCGATGCGATCATCTTGGAGGGTGTTAAGGAGTTGCAGCGCAAACTTGCCGGTCTGATCCACGGGCTTGGAGAAAGCGAAGGCATGAATGGCGAATACGATGGCCCTCGTAGCCCTGATGCAATGGATACCGGCGCAGGCTATCTGGAGCAGGGCTACAGCACCCCTTACGGTAATCCCGGGGCTGCTAGTGCTTGGGGAGGTGGAGCTACGGCGTACGGAACGACACCTTACGGCAACTCTGGTTCTAATGGATGGAGTTAAGCACCTTATACCCCTAACGAGCTCACTTTTATCGGAAGGCAGTTTTTTACAACCTGCCCTGTACAATATGAGGTTTTGAGTCACCTCGAGGCCAAGTCTGAAAGTTGGTTTTCTTGAGACGCCATCTAGGTGCGTTGCATTGTATCATCACGCGGAGTTTAGGGGATACTCAGGTTAGAGAAAGCAGACATGCGCATTTTCACATAAAATCAGTTCTCCATATGGTAGATATACGCGCGTGTCTGGAAAACCAGCCCGGGCGCATATAATACACGCAATAGAAAGCATTATACCCTAAAGTGACCGACAGCTAAAATTGCCAATACCTTCCAAACGCCTGTGATAATGCCAAGGATTTGACTCTAAACGCCGTCATTCTAGGTATAACCTCTAGATCCGTATCCACTCTATCGGTGCTATATCGAGGCTCATCCGTATCTGCACGCAAAAATACTCATTCAATCCCCTTGAACTTTCTATAAACCTTGCGGTGTGCTTCTAAGAACAAAAATGTACATATCGTTTGCCTGTCGACACCGTTAGTGATGAAGATGGGATAAAGCTTAGTTAGACGGGGACGACACTTACGGTCCTAACCTTAAAAAGGCCGGTACCCAGCCCTTGAACATCCATGAGGCGCCCTCCTTGGCATAGATTTCGCGTAGCAGGTGGGCAATCCCCTGCTCGTGACTCGTGCTCATTACTCGGCTCTTGATGACGTCGACTGGTGAGCATATCGTAGTAGCCACGAACCCGGCAAATAATGAGCTAGCGAAGTGTGTCGTGGTAGTATCACCCAGCGGCGTGTACGCTATCAGCATTCCCTTGAACGTGTCGTAGCTAGCTAGTTGGCCGGCGTTCATGAGCGCGGCGCGGGTGCTATTCGGCAAAACCCCACGGAACCAACTCCGGACCCCCTCCTCGCGGAGCATGCGGAACATACCGTCGAGTCCGTGCTTATAGCCCCGACGTTGGGCTGCGGGTAGCGCTGCGTCCTGCTGCATGCGCACGTTGGTTACGTCCGCGGCGTTTCCGGATATTCCACCTAGGAAACCAGAGAACGTCGATAACCCGATGAGTAACGGCAACGATGGTTTGTGGCCATCTGCTGTGAAGCGGGCCTTGAGCTCTTCGTACACGCCGAAACGGACGGTCGAGTACGTCATCTGCCGGAGCAGCGACGCCGACAGGCCGTTATACAGCCCGAGGACCCCCTGCGTCCGCACGACGTGTACGAAGGTGCCGCTCATATTCTTAGGAGCATCGCCGGTTCGCAATTGGAGCCGGACTTTGACTATATGTGTACGTCATCCGTTAGCGGATGCTGGTCCGATCTGGTACCTCGATAGGGCTGAGAAGCTTGGACATATGGAAGTTTTTTTCTTCTTTTTCTTGATCGCAAAACGTACCGAGATCGAGCGGATGTGTCACGCAGGCGGCAAAACTACTCGCGCTTCCGCCGAACCAGAAGGGATAGGAGATGCGCTGGTGGGCTAGGGCAGCCTTCTTCTTTTCTAGATTTTTAGGCTTGGCATTGGCGGCGGCTACGGCGGCGGCTGCGGAGGCGGGTGTAGCGGCGACGGACGGCTCATGGGAGGTCGTCGGAGGGAGAGGGGGTACGGACTGCATCTTTAAGATTGGAAATGGAATGTTACACTAGACAAGGGCGTAACTCGAAGAATGAATGGAGGAAAAGCAGCATCCCTATGGCTTGCTTACTATTTTAGCACTTCTGTTTTCTGTCTATGTTGTAAGAATGGGTTGGGAGGAGTAATAGTAAGTCAGGTATGTATAATGTATGTAGGTATGTATGTACGTCGTAAAGTAAGGATTGGTAGTAGTATAACAAAAACCCTAGACTTAATTCACCTACCAAATGCAGCGAACCCAAGCCATATGTAAATAAAGAACGGTGTAGCTGACCGTAGCTCGGAGGAAAAGTTGGCGGCTAAGCCCTGACGGCATGGAATGACTTCGAGGTATTCATCGAAGAAAAAAAAGGCCAAGAGAAAAAAACATGGGCCGGTGCTCGGGTTTACCGGTATTTATTTTTTGTCCGGCTCTTTTTCGCCCGAGAAGGTGGAATCATTATTGGTAATTCAGGTGTTACAAGCTGAAAGGGTTCGTCGGTACCTACATTAGGTACATCGATACTAATGTTGCTTGCTTCATGCGTCCCTACATGCAGCCATGCACTAATGTCGCGTATCAGTGACCCATCTGTCACATGGATTTACCTACCTAAAATGTACTGTACCTCATAGTGCAGCTTCACATCAAGGTAACTTCATATTTCGATGAATTGATACGCCTTTATGCCGCCTTCCCTTACAGCGTTGTAAGTTTATTGGCTGCATGTGGTTTATAAGGTCCATGCTAGTTAGGTACATTGTACAAGTTACCCCGCGGATCTGCAAGACAACGTTGAACCAATCTTTTATCAAAGCTTTGCGAAAATCTCTTAGCTCTAGCCTCTAGACCACAACGTCCAACAGCCCCTCCACGCGCGACCATGTGGGCAAACCGGCTCACTACATCATGTCTTCGAGCAAGAAGAATAGCTAGCGCAATTCCCGACGGCGCAAATAGCTTCAGCTCTAATATCTTACGACGAGTAAATCGGCAAAGAGGCCTTTCGGGAGGTGTGTGGTGAGCTTTACTCGCTTATGAAGCTCAGCTCCCCTAACACTTATATTGCTATACCCAGTTACCTCGATACTTCAATGCCGAACCAATACAACCTCTACCGTAATCGATGGCACCACCTATAAGAGAGATTCATGGTTCAATGTACCTCAAAACATCATTGAAAAAGTCCCCCGCCGATTGCACCTACAAAAAGACCATCCCGTATACATAACCCGGCAGATCGTCGAGTCCGTATTCACGGCCCCGACCTTCAAATACCACAATGACTTCAACCCTGTCGTTACAACTTACCAGAACTTCGATTCGCTAGGGTTCCCAAAAGACCACCCCGGACGAGCTAAGTCAGACACATACTATGTCAACAGCGACACGCTACTCCGAACGCACACGAGCGCCCATCAAGCGGACGTGTTCCGGGCAAATCTGAGCGAAGGATACCTAATCAGTGCCGATGTCTACCGCCGTGATGAAATTGATAAGAGTCATTACCCCATATTCCACCAGATGGAGGGCGCGCGGTCGTGGGATCGCGCTAAAGTGCCCAATGGGGATGTTGCGGCGGCTATATGGGCGGACCTAGAAAAACTGCCGAAACACAATATCCAAGTCGAGGACCCAAACCCACCGTTCCACGACGAGAGGAATCCTCGGCAAACGGCACATCACTCCCCGGCCGAGGCCGAAGCTATCGCTGCCCATCTGAAGAGGTCGCTAGAGCTCATGGTCGTCGAGATCTTCACCCGCGCCAAAGAAGCTGCTGTAAGGGCCGACCCCAGTTTCGTAGATGAACCGCTCCAGGTGCGATGGGTCGAGGCATACTTCCCTTTTACAAGCCCATCTTGGGAGCTTGAAGTTTACTACGGCGGTGATTGGCTAGAAGTACTAGGTTGCGGTGTAGTCAAACAGGACCTGTACATCAATGCAGGTGTGCCAAATCAATTAGGCTGGGCTTTCGGCATTGGCCTCGAAAGAATCGCCATGCTACTGTTTCAAATACCGGATATTCGTCTCTTCTGGTCGCAGGACAAGCGTTTCCTAAACCAATTTCGGGGTGTTTCGGACGACCTGAGTTCGCTAAAACGTTTCGTGCCCTTTTCTAAGTACCCTATTTGCGCTAGAGATGTATCATTCTGGCTTAGGCCGTTATCCGCGGCTGGGGGCAATACCAAAGCTAACGCGCACGACTTTCACGAGAACGACGTAATGGAAGTCGTACGCAGCGTGGCTGGAGATGACGTCGAGGATGTCAAGCTAGTAGACCAGTTTACTCACCCTACGACTGGGAGGAAGAGCATGTGCTACCGGATCAACTACCGTAGCCTCGAACGGACTCTGACTAATAGAGAGACTAACGATATTCATGGCAAGGTCACTGAAGCTTTGGTAGAAATACTCGGAGTGGAAATTCGGGGATAGAGTTTCCGGGGGTAGCTACTATGTCAACTTTGAGCTAACCAATCTATCTAACTCTGGTGTCTTCTAGTCATTCTGGCGGTAGCCTGCTCTCATGATGACAGCAGCATACTTCAATTCCTCTCTCACTTCTTAGTGCGACGAAGCCTAACCTAGGAGGAAGTCTATCTGTTTATGAGAAACTTGCATTTGCACAGAACTCCAGCGTCTTCGCCCGAGACTGCCAATGGCTCTTCTGTAATAAGCGACATTTACTTTCGTGGCTTGTCAGTCAAGCGTGACTACTTCGGTAGGCACTGCATATTGCATAGCACGAGTAAACTTTTCTACATCAGAGAAAACTTCCGATTAGGTAGGTGGGAACCACGAGAAAGTGAGAGTTTAGGATTTGAGAATGCTTGCTTGTTGCTGTGATAGTGATGTCTATTTGTCGGTATGACTATTTGGCTCAGATAGGGTATTTTGGACCGGGATTGATAGACATTGGCCAGAGGAAGAGCTGCGAGCACTAAGCCTTGTATATAGTTCGGAAGGAATTATGAGATAGAACTCATTTCCTAACGGACAGAGCCACTTAGTTGATGGAAATACTTGATGTCAAATTGAGGGCTTCATGCCAATACCCTATTGGAATAGCCTCTTCTTGGAAGTATGTTATTATGTATAATTTAAACTGCCTACCGTCAGAATCAAAGTGTCTTTGCGCGCCCCTATTTCACACCCGGTCTCATCCACTTATACAAGCTACGTAGTCTACAAACCGTGCTCCTTTAAGATGACTCTGGTATTTTGATATGGCATGGCAAATGTTTCCCAAGACCACCTAGTCCTAGCATTCTTGTTTTCAAGACTTAGATCATACTTTAGAAGTAACTGCGATATGACCATCTTCATGGCTAACGATGCGTGGAACCGGCCAGGGCTAAATCATAGAAGATGAGTAGGCGAAAGTGCAAAACAGACTGATTTAACACTTACCAGGCAAGAGACCCATAACCCCAGATAGGGTACGTCTCAGAGACTTCAGTAAACTTCCGCTGTTGACTATTGGGTTCTTTGGGTAGATATCGACTAGGGTTGAAGGCAGTTGGATCGGGATATGTTTGCGGGTTATGCATAAGATCATACGCTGACACACAAACAGTTGCTCCAGAGGGAATAGAGAAAGATCCGTCCGAAAAGGTATAAGGCTCCAATGCCTTTCTGCGTATTGCAACTGCTAACGTGATTAGCATATTCCAATCTTGAGCCAAATTTTTATAGGGCACTCATACGCGTATCTAGAGGATTACATCTAACAGTTTCCTTTATGAAGCCATCCAAAAGGGGTAACTGCTCTAAACCTTTATAGTCAAGCGGAACGTGTTGCTCTAGCTCTCGGCGTAGTTTGTCTTGCCATTCCTTGCGTGCGCATAATTCTAATATGACGAAGTGCAGATTCATCCACGGCTGATGAGAGGCAGCAAACCAAATCCCTAGGAGAGACTGCGAGAGGAGGTCTGCATTCCAATATTCGCTGCCGCTTGTTAATGCAATGATGTTATAAAGAATAGTGTGCTAAAGAGAATACAAATTACTTAATGTTCACCCGTTTACGTTTCAGGTGGAACTTACGCGTTGGATTTTATCTACATCACTCTGGTTTGAAAGTCCAGATCCTATGCACTGGAAAAGCCTCTTCTGGATCAGGTGCATAGCCTCTCCGCGGTTGGTGAGGGCTGCATGAATAACCCTAATGGAATTAGTATTTTGAGGCTCATTTCATATGGGTAAAAATAACTGAGGATTTGACATACGGTGTCATGAACGATGGTGCTACCTGAAAGGCAGCCATACACTTCACCATATCTTGGGGATAACGCAAAAGCGCGGAGGAAAATTCTTCATCCAGAGCTATATCGAACGTTAGCTTAGTCCTTTCAAGATAGGATATCGCATCTATTCCACCTACATAGGGCCTCTCCAAAAAACATAAGACTCATAAGCTTTGAGACAAGCCGGCGGGCCGTCTGGGCAATAGGCAACGAAATCCCCCCTAGTTTCTATGTTAGAGTGATATTAACTTTGGAAGTGTCCAAGATTTGGGATTCACCATTAAAAACACGCCCACCACGAAGTTCTCTTTCTAGGCTAATATCCAACTGGTTGAGCAAATAGGGATAGAGAGCATCTAGGTGAACGGGCCCATTGACTTGAAGAAGACGACTATATAGCCGCGTCCTAATAACTTTGTTGTTACTGGTATTGTGTTCAAGTTTGTTCATGGTGTGTTTAAACCCGAACATCTACACATGATTAGACTTGCATGGAAACTTATGCTAGAGATGAAGTTTACTTACATCGGCATATACAGCTCGTTGAGAGAGACATGGTGCCTCGCTAAGCTCAGCGATCTGCTTCTTTGTGGAGACAATAACGATCGGTGTAGTTGGTCCCCACGGCTTGTAATACTTCCCGGATCGCTATGAATTGTTAGCGACATGTGCTTATACGGGAGGGATGAGTATCAAAGTGGGAATAACCAACATAGTCGCTAAGCGTGGATGTGATTTTCACATATAATGGGCGTAGAAGAATCTATTTCGCTGGATTAGACTTGTAGTATCTTGAATACGGCTTTGTACACCTACATGCCACCATGACTTGGCCTCAGTATAGACATAAGTCCCAATCAGAAATAGAAACAACACACGATGAATCCTCTCGTCATTAACAAGGTCCCGGAAGTCTGCGTGAAACGTGGGAAACATATCGATCGAATTGAATGAACGTAATTGCATAGTAGGCCTATGCAAACATGCTAGTTAACATCATCTCTTACAATAAGTCTTCCATGGGGATAGACCAGAAAATATACCTACGGCCGATATTCGCGTTGATGGAGCACTAATTATGTTGCATATTAACTCTTATCTATTGGAGTCAAACTACCGACTCTACTATTGTTGCCTCATCCTTAATATCACAAGCGTTTGGGCGTCTATCACTAATGCACTTGCATATATCATATACGATATATATAATATACATTGGTTATCTACTCGTAGTAAACGATACGTCAAAACATACTAACCATAGCGAATCAGATCTTAGCTATTGCGACCTGTAAGCTCCTCGTAGCATTGTCAGCTTTGCTATGGAACTTCACAATTGGTCTTCTAAGATCAACGTCACACATCAGCACGGCACACATCAGCACGGCACACATCAACACGGCACACATCAACACGGCACACATGCACACGGCATACTCAAGTCGATTAAAACCAGGTTATTTCCTTTTATCAATAGCAAGTTCCGTGGCATACCACCTACAACACCTATCTAGGGGGGTGGATTTCTCTGATTTACTCAACCAGCCATTACTCAGCACTATTACTTCCCCATGCGGGGGCGAAAGAGCTTGAAGAAGGCGAACCGAAGTTGTACGAGTCCGGCGGTTAACTCTGGGATAATAGTTCTATAGGTCTTTGGAAAGACGATAACATGCCGTCCGCAATCTATTACCGGACCATATAACGTACCATCCTAGTATAGGATACTACCCTTTGTTAGGTGATTACTTTACTTCCCTAGCGTATCAAGTCCGGTTCCCATGACGGCTCCAGCGTCCTATTTTGTGTTAGCACGCCCAAGAAGAATGATATCGAACATACCATAGCACATTGCGGTACCCCCGTTGCTGTTGTGCTAATCTTCACCATATCGACGTTACAACCATACCAGAATTTACCCGTCGCGCGTTTTTTAATCTCGCCCACAACAGCAGTAGCATACTCCCTCGTTTCCATTCTCGGCATCCCATCTTTACCCTGAGCCCTACTGGCAATTGTATCTTCAATGCTTTTATACAGTGACTCCGCCGGAAGCTGGAAATCGCCAAAGTATGTCTGGCCCAATGTTTTGACAGCGCCCGTAACGATCTCCAGGACGTCAACACCGAAGGGGGCCAGTTCAAGTCGTAGGGTTTCAGCTACGATTTCCAGGGACCTCTTGGATGCCGAATAAGTTCCTTTGAGTGTCGTGTAAGTTATTCAAGAGCGTTAAAAGCGGAGAAAGGAACAAAGAGCTTACCCATGTATGGGATGTTCAGGTATCCAGAGATGGAGGTAATATACACAGCCATACCCTTAGCCTTGATAAGCAAGGGGGCGAAGGCTTGAGTAAGAGAAATTGGAGCCACGAGGTTGATCTCGAAGATGTTCCTGACTGTGTCTAGGTCCTCGTCTAGGATGGGCATGAAATGGTTACGTCCAGCATTACTAATGAAGTAGTTCAAAGAACCGCCCGTCTCCTTTGAGACTGCTTCGACGGCAGCCTTGGTATCAGTTGGCTTGACAACATCAAGTGTCAACAGCGTCACGTTAGGCAGGTCCCTAAGCTTAGACATCTTGGAAGGGTTGCGAGCTGTAGCAAAAACGTGAAACCCGCACTCTTGGAAAACGATGGCTAATTCGGAGCCAATTCCGCCATCGCTGCAGCCTGTGATAAGGACTGTTTCTCTGGAGCTCATGGTGGGAGTGTATGTGATAATAGGGTTAGAAATGTTGAGATGGGTAGTTCTGAGATGGAGACTGGGATTGAGAAGAGGGGTAGAATGATCAAAGAAGGGAGATAGAACTTTAGAACTGATTGTTTGTATACTTGCGTCGAAGCCTGGTTGATTGGTTGATTGGTTGGTATATTTAACGCTACGGAGCCGATTAAGGGATATTTCGACATATATTTGGTGCTACGTAAGAAAGTGTCAAGGAGTAGCACTAGTTATCTACCGGCTAGGCCTCTGGGTTATGCTTTCAGTTATATCGGTGATTTACTCTTACCTAAGTTTATAGTTATTCCTCCTTCAACAATGTTATGCTTTCATTGCCAACTTCAACACAAATCCCTAACCCTCATATATCCTAAAATATCTAATCCGAGACCATCGTTTATCTTTAATACTTAAGCTTAGGTCTTATATATTGCCCGAAAGTTGCCTTAAGGAATTACCATTGTTATCAATAAGCCTAAGTTGCTTTAAGTCACCTTAAGCTGTTGCTGTTTTAACCTAAGCTAAGGGTAAGCTTTTGGTATAGATTTAAATCTTTTATTGATAACTAAAGATTGGTAACCTTCATAAGCAGGGAAGTTGTAGCAGCAAGCTGGCCCCTAATTTCGTCTACCTTCATACCAGCTTTCCCATCAAAAAGAGCGACCTTATTCGACCGGTTAACCAGAGAATTACTGGGAAAGACCTAATAAATCTTCACCATAGTCTTTTCCACCTGATCTTCATATCTCTATCTGGTGGGACAGATCCAGCACCGGCATACCTCGGGTCGTTTTGAGCAGGACGCTGTGATGGCGACCCGTCTAGTTTCGTCCACTCAATGCAATTAACATCAAACCTTGCGACAACCATTGCTATCACTAGCAAAATCTCTTGCTTCGCAAGGTTCCGCCCCGGGCACATATATCCTCCACCACCTGTTCCAGAGCATTTGTGAGCAGGGACTTGAAGTAGGGATCGCGCAAGTAGATTGAAACGAAAACTTACCATAAGGAAAGAATGATCCTGTGTGCCCAGAAATCGAATATTCCAACATGTTGCCAAAATGCGCTTCCCTATCCTGAGCCTTTGACGGCTTCACATGTCGATAAGCCCAGAACTCAGAGGCCCGATGGTCCGGTGTCCCCCAGACAGCTTCTTCGTAGTGAGAAATCTGAGTTGGTGCTTGAACAGTGCACCCTTTCGGCAAAGTGAATCCCGCAATAGCAATGTCCTCTGTTGCGGTTCGAGTTAGGTTAAGGCTTAAGTGTAGGCGTAGGGACTCTGTGTAAATAGATTGAATTAGAGGAAGTGACGCTAGCTTTCGGATGTCAAATGTGCGCTTCCCAGAGACAGGATTTGTAACGAGAGCTTGTAAGACTTCGGTTCGTGTGGCTCGAAATAAGTCTGTATCGTTAATGATTTCCATCAATGCCCAAGTGCAGATCGGAATGGTGTTAGTATTCAAGCTGGCACGCCGAGTACTTGTTAGAGAGATATATATTGTGAATCCTGGCGGACGTGGGCTTACCCGAGAAAGAGGAACATGTAGACACCTGCTATGCTTTCTTTTGAGAATCCGAACGACTTGGCCCATTCCCCAAGCTCTTTCGACAATTGCGAGCCAAACGCATTGTCAAATTCTTTACCTGGTTTGATGCTGTCCCCATTCGACAATCCTTGCTCCGCTTCTTCGTACCATTTGAGACATATGGCACGTAGGTCTTCACGAACCTTGATTCCCTTTCTGTTTAGCCACCTTGGTAAACCAAATGCCAGGCTCTCCGCATAGCTATCGTACGCCCAGAATAAATCTATGAACGTTGGGTTATCAGTCAAGATATGCCTGCCGACCACGGAGCAAACAGAAGCAGCAGCCACCTCATGACGAATGAAGTTAAATATGGATACTTCAGCCCATTTTCCAACTGGAAAAGTGCTGAGCGTTTCGCCAAAAAGATGCTGGAAAGACTCTGCAAGAGCTTCTGTATGTTGAGGCGTCGCTAAATAATCATTATGGACTTGATGCTTGAGATACCAGATACGCTTCTCCGGAAGCACGGATTCATCACCTGGGATCGGCAACTTTCCGATACCTGATTTGTCCCGTGCTAGCTTGGCCAGGTCTTTGTCTGTGTAGCCAGCCACATTCTTGAGTATGAGTAGCATCCATGGCTCCGATATGAGATTCATAGAGGATTGCTGAAGCACTGTCGAAACGCTAGCCTTTCCAGTGACGAAATACACTTTCACGGGCCCCAGCTGGCATTCTACGACAGGGCTATTCAGGAGTGCCCGGCTACATGAATTGTGAGAAACTATGTAAAACTGATTATTCTCTTGCTCGCCTGGTGGGTACTTACGTTATTGTTTCAAGAAAAGCCCTCTTACTTGTCATATATATCCAGATATTAGAGACGTAAGGGATGGTCTCCCTAACCTGGGGCGGTCGTTGAGCATCCTTGTGCCTCAAGAGTGAAGCTAGCACAATCGCCAATGCCGCAGTCAGAATTGCGGCAGTGACCCACGCCCCAGTAAAAGATTGAACGTGTACAGCAAGACTATAAACAGTATTCATTCTGATAAGTTGGCAAATATGCATATCTCAACTTTCACATTCGTATGTCAACCTATATTCCTCATACGACCGAAATCCAACCGAAGCTTACGGGTAAAATAGAAGAATATTTCGTAGTCTTAAGGCTTCATAGCCTTACGGCCTCATAGGCTACACTTCCAGGCTTGAAGGTATGCCTCGATTCTCTGGAGAGGGGAAGTTATAATGGGTATGATCCAAAAGCGGTCATTATAGGGGTCCCCGCAATGTAGGTATTTGAAGGATAACAGGTAGGTAGGTAATGTTTTAAGTGGACGATAACAGCGTAGTAATATAACCACGATTAATGACCAACAAGTCAGAACAATACGGAAATGCATGATTCGGGATATTTTCTTTAAGTGACCACAGCGTGTGATGAATCCCGACTTGCACGTTGGGTGTTGCTTTTGGGTTGGTGGGATTGTACGAAGTAAGGCTGGCGGCATACTCCTTGTTCTAGCCTTAGATATATGGGCGTTTGATGTCGTGTGACAGTATGGATGAACTGGTTCATCTAATGCCGGGTGAACGGCAAACTGACCCAGCTTGTCAAGGAGCATGCGATATGTGAGGCTCTGTCTACGTCGTATGAATTGCTATCTTGAGAAGCATTTCGCGAGATACCGAAAGCTCTTCCTGTGTAACCATGATTTCGTGTAGCACGATCGTGTAACCGTTTACATCCCCGAGCTTCAGTGATATGCCTACTGCTTTGTGCGACCACACGTTCGACTCCTACCTAGGTACCTAAGGTAATTAATATCTAGTTACTTTGGTATTACCCATCGTGACATTGGATCCTTTCTGTTCTGAATACATATTAATGGCACAGTGTGAGAAGATTGAATCATATCTCCCACGATAGGTACACAATAAGATGTAGGTAGTAAACAGTTGTCCCTTGGTAGGTACCTAACCTGCCTATCTAAGGTGGTTAAACAAAAATATTAGCGAGCACTGAAAAGCTAGGTATCTCGAGTTTCTCCCTCAAGGAATTATGTAGCCGCTCGGCCCCTTACCCCTATTACCCCCCTATTACCCCCCTATTACCCCTATTCGGGCTCAGCATTCTGACAATTGTCTACCTTAGTGTCTACCATAGAAGGTACCTAGGTATCTATTTAGGCGCCATCACCACCCCGCAAAGTGGCTTCTCCCTCCTACACACCCTGATCTTTGCCGTCGGATTTAGCATTAGGAACTCGTGAATGCGAATTACCCCTGGTTTCTTACCCCTTATGAACTCGAACTCATACTTATCTAGCAGTTCCACCATTAACACCTTAATCATCATATTCGCCACTATCCGCCCCGGGCACGCCCAGCGCCCGGAGCCCCATGTAAGTATATTTCCGGATATTCCACTAAACGGCGTCGCCTTATGACGCTCGAGATCGTCATTGTAGAATCGCATGCCATCGTATGTGTTTGGGATATGTCCCGGTGCGCCTTGATTCGCGATATAGGCCATAATACCCTCCTGCGAGGCTAGTGCGATGAACTGTCCGCGCTTTAGCTGGATGCCGCAACTCAACTGGACGTCCCTCTGTACGACACGCTGGTACACGAGCGCAGCGCCTGGTGCGAGCCGGGAGGTTTCTTTCAGTACCGAATCTAGCTTGTAAAGTCTGTCTAGCGCGGCTAGATCCCACTGTCCGCCTACATTTGAATGCTTCTGTTTGATCTCTTCGCGTACCTCCTTCAAAATATCGGGATTCGCCATAAGGTCTACCAGAGCTTCAGACGCGAGATTCGCCGTGCTATATGTTCCACCTGCGATAACGGCGGCGCAGAGATGACATAAGACGTGCTCGTTGCGCTCAATAGGGGTTTTGGCATCGTGCAACATCCAGGAGATCAGGTCACCTCGCTTGGAGGGATCGAAGTCCTTTTCTTGCAGTCGACGGCGCACTTCAGGGATCACGATGCGATCCCAGGTTTTCCAGCCGCTAACGAGACGCCACTTGGCAGGAAGCAACCAGACGAGCATGGGTTGGAGAAATGAGGGCACGATACGCATACAGAACGCGATAGTGAAGACTGCCCCGTGTTAGGACGATGAAATAAAGTTCTGTTCTCTGCTCAATGCTACTCACCATTCTTAGTATGCTCATGACAGACCTTTACAAGTTCAGGGTCATCGCAAATTGGCGGCCCAAACAATGTAAATGCTAAACATTCACTAATGCAGCGTACGAGTGCATCAACAGGGTCTATAGATACCCACGAACCAGGCTCCTGGGGAAACAAGCGATTTAGTCTCGCCGTCATGCGCTCGGCCATTGGCAGTGTGGCCCCATTGATTGTAGGGCTAATCCGGCCTAAAAGCGTTTTCACATGGTAACTCGTCTTGAGAATAACGTGCATGCCTGTCAAGTGACCGAGGAGACTAGAACTGTGGTGTTTTCTCGTATTGAGGACGTCTACAGGTAGACGGTTCAACTCAGGGATGAAGCTTGCCGGAAGTACCACGTAGTCGGCATCGCCGCGCTCCAGCTGGTAAGGCTTTCCCCCGGACTGACAATAATGTTAGTATCCAGATTGCACAGGTATTACACAGGTATTACATCGTTGATACTGATATTGAAGCGCGGAGATGCTGCTCACCTTCCTGTATCCCACTTCGAGGATCTCACGAGCAAATAGCGCCCAGCGAAGCCGTGCGAACAACCTAGGCTCCCAATCGAAACGCCTGTTGATGAGGGGAAGCTGCTCTGAAACGACGTATTTCGGGCGTTTGAGGGCAAGCAGAAGAAGAAGAATGAAAAGACAGAAAAATGCAGCCACAAGGAGGTGTAGTCTGTTTGGGACCGCAACAGAGGCAGTCACCCAAGCTACGTGGCTCATGTTGGTCTTTGTGCGTAGTACAGAGCGTAATGTAGGCATCTAAAGAGGTATTATTCGAACATCCGATGCGAGAGTATAAGTATTACCTACCTACCTACCTAATGTAGGTATATTTTATGAACCTATATGAGGTATGCATGAAACTACATCTCCTCTACGCGCACCGAAAGTGCCTTATATAGTAATTTCCGATTATAATATCTAATACAGAGACCTAAATGTCTCATTGGAAGAAACATGCGGCTGCAATAGCTGATACGAACTTTGGAACCGCGAACAGTTGACCCATGTAGGTAGGACCGTAGGTAGGTACCTAGGTAGTTAGGAGGTATGTACCTATCTACCTAAGGTATACGACAGTGCAGAACACTGTCTACTATGTATAACAGGAGCAGGGATAGAATTTTTAGGTGATCATGCAGCCTCTCACCCAAGGGCCAAGGAGTTGACGTGCTTTGATATCGGGCTGCATGTCGGGTCGTGTAGGATGCGCCGGCATTCTGTACAAAAGCTCCCATGGAGCTTTAGGTAAATAGGTAGGTAGGTAGCCTTTTTCTCCAATATTCAGCGAACGTAATCCCAAGCAATCGGTGTCGCGAGCGTTGTCGATTCTGCTCATCATGGTGTTCTTTACTAAACGGCAAGCCGGCGATGCGATGCCAACGCCGTGCCTGGTCACTACAGCCTTGGTAATTGTTTCTGTTATTTTCATGCTCTTATCACTTGCGGCAACCGCCTTCCGGTTTAAGGCGCGAAAAATACAGCGCGCGAAGCTACTTGCAGATGATTGGTGGATGCTCATATCCTGGGTATGTAATTACACTACCATTGCTATGTCGCCAACCTGGCTCGAAACAATGCGAGCAATGATATCTTAGCTGCTAATGCTTGCAAAAATCTCATATAGGTTTTGGCATTCTTTCTCAGTATCGATGTTTGGGTCTTCGGCTCGCTTACTGGGCTTGACTACTACAAGATTGATCCTATTAGAGGAACGACATTGTCACTACAGGTTGGGCCATATCCAAATAGTCTTACCAGAGAGTTTCCTGACCAAGTCCACGTATTAGTGCTTGTATGTGGCTTCCATTCTTACTCTGCCGGCCTTGACTTCGGTCAAGATTGCCGTCTTGCTTTTCTATAAGCGAGTTTTTGCCACGCCAAAGTTCAAGATTGCCGTCTGGACCTTAGTAACTATCCTGTTCTGTTGGTGCATATTATTCATCTTCGTAAGCAGCCCTGAATCCTAGCAGCAGCTAGAAGCTCAAGAGAGCGCTAACTACGTCTCAACTACAGTTGACGGCCTTTCAGGGCGACCCGCTCGACTCACCATGGCAACTCAACACTGGCAAATTTCGCTATAACATCACAGCTGTGGGATATGCCCAAGTTGGCTCAAGCATCGCCTTGGACTTCCTTGTCTTGCTCTTCCCTCTCCCTGTCATATCAAGACTTCACATGGCTTTTACGCGCAAGATATCCATCATGCTTATCTTCTGGCTGGGGATCTTGTTAGTTTCCTTCCCAACACCCATGGCCGAACCCCCTTCCTAATGGACATTTCATAGTTGCTGCGTCGCATCCATAGTCCGAGTAGTATTCCTCGCGGAGCTACTATCTGCCGTCGTCGAAGCCAAGGAATCCATTGGTAAATACCAACCACCTCCATTCTGGGGCTTGCTGCCACAATAGAGACTGACTTAATGGAATACCTCTAGCAATCCAATCCAAACAATTCGTCTTCCTCGTTCTCGAGCCTCACTGCTCCATTATAGCCGGCTGTCTTCCGTGCTACGGGTCTCTTCTTGCTAGGTTCGGCGGCCGCGCGCCCGAGTCCCTTGTGCGCAGCGTGCGTTCCATCATCTCCCTTGGAAGCTGGGGTTCTCGCCGCGGCTCCCAAGGATCTGGAGGCAGCAAGAACAAGATACAGAAAACGGAAAATGACATACAGCTGCTAAACTCCGTAAATAATGGAGAGATTAACCATGAAGGGAGCCAGGTCGAGCTTACCAGTAGATCACAGTGGCCTGATTCCCGCCATGATGTGCTTGTCCTGGGGGGTCCGAAGGCAGATGAAGCACTAGAGCGCATAGTTGATAGTGAGATCACACAGGCGGACCTGGTGAAGAACTCTATCAATGTCACACACGGTGTTGATATTTCTTACGTTTGAGCGTAACTATATCATCTGCCGGAATCAGATATTTGAGCCTCGCTACGTGCCTAATTACTCGGGTTGGCACTACGGTTTGAAATGTAGGGTATTGTTGGAAGACGTGAAGATCTCTTACTCATGTAATACAAGCAGGTAGTTATTAATACATAGTGAACAAGGCTATCAGCCTTGGACCTGGATTAGACCCTATACTGAATCTAATACCATGGTCTAGGTAATTTTATAGATGAAAGGAATGATTTGTATTCGATGTGGTTAAAGTTATGTAAAATAGGTGTGTGCGACCATAAGGGGTACTTATACTGGAAATCCTGATCAGATAAGGTCAGATTAAGTCATCTGATACACAGCCCTTGTTCAATAGTCAGTTCTTAATAAGATATTTACTTGATTATAGGGCTTCGATGAAGGAGACCTGAAATTGACGCTTTTGTGTAATAAAAACTAATCAAGTACCTAGATTTAAAGCAGGTATGTATTCTTATCTCCAGTCAAAAAGGACAATTCCCTTTCTCCTTCTTTCTAATAAGCATGCGCTGCCATGGTGCTGTGAAAAGGAACTCGTGTGCCAACAAGTTCTTAGGTCTCCCGGCCCCGGGAAGGAACTCGAACTCATATTCGGTCAGGAGCTTAGTAAATAGGATTTTGAGAACGAGGCTTGCGAAGTAACGCCCTGGACATGCATGCCGTCCGTATCCGAAATTGAGAACATTTGGGCGGGGCGTCGAGAAGCGAAATTTTCTTCCCTCGTCGCCGTCACTACCGTCAGAAATATTATGTTCTAGCATAAGGCGATAGCTGCGAAGCCCATCGAACGTTTCGGGATTAGAAGTGTGTGCAGGGTCGTTCTCGATAGCGTAGATGGGCATCGCTGTGTACATACCCTTCGGGATATGCAGGCCATTTTTGAATGTGTAATCTTCTTGAAAAATACGCTTCATGCCTAAAGTGGTGGGTGGCGACATTCGCTGCGACTCGCTAAGCACGCTGTCAAGTTTATATAGACTGTCATAAGACGATTTATCCCAAGTCCCCGACCGGCTAGTGACTTCTTCGATCTCAGACCGAAGCTCCACAGCGAGGCCAGATGCCGTTATGTCGTATAGAACATTGACCATCCTCAGGAGGGTGGTGTGAACAGCGGCGAGAGCGAGTAGCACCTCTACATGGGCTATAGTGTCCGCGTCACGGTCAGCCCCCTTTACAGTGTCTACAAGCCAATTGAGGACATTTGAGTCGGATTCATTGGGCTGCGGCTCCCAGGTCCCCTCGTCACTCATATGGAGCAATTCATTGATTCTAGGACCAAGGAGCTTTTTAGCTTCTTTCATGTATCTCTGACCAGCCCAAAAGGATGGCAGATGACGGCAGACAAACGACTGCATCCACGAAGGAAAAAGCCGTGTGATAACGATAGTTCGAAACACTATCATGTGGTATTAGGATGCATAAACATAAACTTTCGGATGGCGATATAAGGTGCTACACCTAGGCAGTAGGGAAAGTGCATGTGGCTTACAATTCTCAGTATATTCGACTGAAATTTCCAGCCATTTTGGATCATGGGCAAATTCAGGAGTCACAATAGCCTGCGCAGCGATTCTCGCAGATACTTTGGAAAGTGCCTTGTAAGGTTGAAATTCAACCCATTCATGGGATTCGGTAAGAGACTCGTGGCATGCGCTGTGTATTTCTACCTCGAGGCGAGGTGTCATTAAACCAAGACGCGGTGTTACTCTCCGTTGAACGATAGAATGATGAGCTCTACTCTCCAGAATTAGGCTCAATCCTGTGTAGTGTCCCAATAAATCATGCTCTAGGGCGGTATTTGGGCTAGCCACTGAGGCAGGCAGGTTTGAAAGCTCTTCAAGGACCGACAATGGAAGAAGCAGAACTTGACCATCATTTCGTACAAGCTGGAAAGGCTGGCCTTTGAACTAAATCAGGCAGAGTTAGAATCATTATTCCGTTTGGGACGTGATAGCCCCCACTCACCTTTTGATAGCCCCATTCAACGATATCCGCCGCTTTAGCAGCGAATAGGAGGTTCAGAAGAAACCGTGGTATTACCGTGAAAGGGCTACCTATAAAGGGTATATCAGGATTCTTCCTGATCGACTTTCTCGCCATCCAGCCATCATATACACAATAAACTAAGAAAATAATTAAAGGCAGGGCCCAGTAGTTGCTATTCTCCATGACGAAAAGAGAAATTGATTCTCGTTATAGGCGAAGGGACTTGTTTGCCAGCAAGCAGAGACTAGAAACAGGGATTTCCTATGTAAAAGGTCTATAGAGCTTCACAGAGGTCTAGAGGAACCAAAAGCCGCCATATCGCCTGCCGTCAAGCAGCATATTAGATGAAGTAAGCAGAGATACCAGCGTCGTAAGAGCTACATATGTGTTGGGTAATTAATTTCGTAGCCTGCCTACATAGGTAGGTAGGTAGGTAGGTAGGTAGTTATCAACGTAGATTAGAAAAGCACAATCTAACATGTTGGTCATAATGTTTGGAGAACATTATGCTGTGCAACCATACGGCACATCTTAGTGATACACAGTATGTCAAAAAAAGTTAAATCAATTGGAACCTTTTTGATTGTGTAACATGTGTAACCAACTCCAATATGGCCTGTGCTCAAGACCGTTCCTATCATTATTTAAGGCACTGTGCAGGGATGGTCATGGTGGTCATGGTTAACCACTTATTGTCTATCATTTTGGTTGTCAACGTTGCACACTAATAAGTCTTCCCTTCTAACATCCATCTTCCAAACTGACCCGTCCAACTCTTCCCTTCTTGGCCCTGCTTTGCTACGGAAGTAATTCTATTTTCTTTCTCTTTCTCGTTATCATTGCCCCCCATGAAGCCCATCCGAATCTGGCTCATCCGTAAGTCGAACATGGAAAGCCTCTAGCTACAATTCGTGATGCTAACCCTGTTCGTAACAAGCTGCCGGTCCAAATCCTTGGAAGGTAAGCCCGTTACCGGCTAAGAATTTGGCCACAATGAATCTTTCCCTCTGCAAGACCCAATTATCTAACTTAAATATGCAGGTGGTCGTTATTTTCGAGGAACTTGGCATACCTTACAAGATAACATCCATCAAGTTTGACGATGTCAAGAAGCCCCCTTACACCGATATCAACCCCAACGGTCGTGTCCCAGGTGTGAATTCTTCCTCTTTGTCTCTTGCTTTGATGAACATGACGATTTAACCCGCCAAAGCTATCTACGACCCGAATACCGACATTACTCTCTGGGAGTCGGGCGCTATCATTCAGTATCTTATAGAGCAATATGACGTCGACCATAAGCTCACATACACTGCTCTCAAAGAAAGACATCAACTCAACCAGTGGCTTCAGTTCCAAATGAGTGGTCAAGGACCATATTATGGCGTATGTGCATGGTGAGTTCTTCGCCTGGTCCTCTAATCGAGTCAATTATATTAGGTACCTAAGTAATCAACCCCTCAAAAACTTACATTGTGCCGTACGACTCTAGGTTCAACGTGCTTCACCAGGAGAAGTTGCCCTCGGCCATAGAACGTTACAATAATCAGCTGAAGCGCGTTCTCGGCGTCCTGGATAAGTGGCTCGAAACACGGCAGTGGCTCGTCGGCGACAAGATGACGTACGCCGACCTGGCTTTCGTGCCGTGGAACGACCGCATCGACTCTACCATTATCTGCAAGCCGCAGGACAAGTTCTCCGGTTTCCCCAACGTACAGGCCTGGCATGAGCGCATGATCTCGCGCCCCGCGTGGAAGCGGTGCATGGAAGTTCGGGAGCCCCTGATGAAGGAGCAAGGTTTGGATCAAGAAACAGGAAGACCGGCCCGCTTTAAAACACATCAAGAATTTGAAGAAGCAGTTGCCAGAGGAGAGAGTACCGATGCTTGAAACATGACCGAGTTGTTGGTGAATTAAGCTAGAAAGATGGAAGTGTCCCAAGATAGGTTGATTTACTATTTCAATGTTATCTCTGATTGAGAAATTATTACCACGCGTTCATTACACTGGAGTCAACCGCCCTAGAGCAAGACATACATAGCTGCTGCACGTGTATACTCCGCCATTAAAATGATGATTTCCTTGTCTATCGTGTGGTGGCCTTCATGCGTTAACTACCTAGGTACCCAAGGTATGGCTGCGGTTTTTCCAATTATAAATATTACCTAGATTCCTACTTAAATTACGCAGCTGAAATAATTAAACATTGCAAAAGCCAACCACCTGTAACTCACTATACACCTCTCACTAGGCTTGCCTATATCAATACGCCTGAAGTACCTCTACAAGGTAGTTAAGGTCTGCTACCTGTTCTCAAATGATTGGGCAAGTTACTTCTGTTCTTCTTCGCCCTCGGCCTTTGTAGAAGTTGGTCGCTTCTTGGTGGATGTCCACTTTGTAAAGGCCACAAGGACGAACGAAAGGACGGGTGCTCCAGCAGGTACATACTGCATGACGCGCCGTCAGCACATCATTCTACGTAAACAGGACTATAGTGGGGTAGGTAACATACGAAGACTTGTGTGATCGACTTTCCGTACTCTCGGATCACTGTTGATAACACTGAAGGGTCAACGACGGAGTCAAGGTTAGTGGCCCCCGCGGAAATAATGGCTTGTACAACTTCAGGTGGTACGACAACCGACAGATTAGCCATTAGCCGCTTTTGAAATATTGTCTGTCCTATAGCTGTGAAGATGGTGCAGCTTGTCGAGATGATGGTGAGAAGGGTGGTTGCACCAAGCGGTACGAGTTCTATTGGTAGAGACGCCTGCATACCGAGATGGGCCTGGCACACGGTCTGTATTAGTTTCCTCCCAGCAGTGAGATACAAAGGGAAATGTCAGACAGGGGATGAGGGACTGGAGAACCAGATTGTCACATACTAGATTACCGGCCAAAGAGAACCCGAAGCCGGCGAGAATCTGATAGCCGATCCAATGACCACTAGAGATCTCCGGGTAGATGGTAGACAGGAGGCCTCCTCCTATGCACACCAACGCCTCAGCAAGTAGAAGGAAAGGATTCCACCATCCAACGGCCTGTACAATAACGCCGGCGCCGACGAAAGCGGCTACCGCATCAGCAATCACTGTCGGGAAATATTTGATACCGCTTTGGGTGGGCGAGGCACCAAGGACTGCTTGAAACCAGATAGGTAACCAATAGATGATAACCTGGAACGGGCCGTTTACGAAAAATGAGCTCGCGCAGATAAGCCAGGCATTTCGATGTACGGTGAATAAGCGTGGGGGGATGAGAGCATCATCCTTCATATAGATCTGCCACGCAACGAAAGGCGCGAAGGCGGCGCCACATCCAACGAAAAGACCGATAATAATGGACGAGTTCCAGTCATACGTGACACCACCCCATTGAAGTGCAAGAAGTAGCATGGTCATGGAGCAGGCAAACAACAAGAATCCGAGCCCGTCGAGGCCCTTTAATTTGGTTTTCAGGGGCACCCTTTCTCTCGCGTCGGAATGGATACGGAAGAACGGTACGAAGAGCAGGGCGGCGAACCCACCAATGGGCAGGTTAATATAGAAGCACCATCGCCATGTAGCGTGTTCAGTTAGGGCGCCGCCGATGAGAGGGCCGACGACACTCGCTATAGCAAAGGTCGAGCTGATAGTACCCGTGTAGATGGCACGCTTGTGGAGCGGGATTATGGTAGTCACCACGACAAAGCCACCCGCGAAGATGCCCGACGCGCCTAGGCCGGCCACAGCGCGGCCTACGATAAGGGCCTTGGACGTGGGCGCTAATGCGCAGACGAGGCTACCAACCTCCAAGATGCCAACGTACACTAGGTACACCAGCTTTTTGGGAAACAGAACGTAGGTTTTACCTGCCAACGGCTGAGTAGAGCACCTGAAGTGACGTGAGTGGACAAAGCGAAGAGAAAGGAGGTCGTGATGAGAGGCATAAGTGCACCTACAATGCCAACATGAAGGATGATCCGTACCACCCCACGTCTGTGATGGAGTTAAAGTGGTCGGTGATGATAGGAATAGCTGTTGCTATCATGTTTAGGTCCTAGATAAGGGATCAGTTTCGTTAGCTCGCTACCAAATATGCAACCATTAGGTAGTGGTTGTCTGTGCCTGTCAGCTAACACGTACCAGTCCAACAAGAAATGTGAGCATGCAAACGGCTGTGAATACCGGGACAAGCCTAATTCCTTTAACTTCATTTTTTGGGTCGATGGTGTTTTCTTCAGAAGCCTGGCGGCCTCCGGGCTCAGGCCCCGGATCAGTTTCCTTGTGGATGGAGATGTCCTCGACGCTCCCTGTCTTTATTTCTGCCTTCTCGGTGTCCGCCATAATATCAAGATGTTCCTAACAAGCTATGAATGTAGCCACCTTGTTTTGACTGAGCTACGGTAAATAGGTGTTCCGGGGGGTTCAGGGAAATCCCCTCCCTCTTAAGGCTGGAACCCGAAAGGACAAGCCAATAAATAAAAGGAGATATTAACAGGATGTCAAGAATGGTGGGTAGCACACGTACGGTGTTATTAAGACTGTCTCGTATAAGTTAATGTGATATACCCCAAGCTTCTCTAACCGAATGTTACAACGTGCAAAGAAACTAGGTACCTAGCATAACTGGGATCACGTATTATAGGTGCTCAGTCATGTGGTGCCAAGATCTCGTGTAGATATAATAGGAACTTGACAACCGAGAAGTACCAATGGATATATAATGAATAAAGTCATTTTCAAACGTAGAGTCATGGATTTTATAATTATCCATTGTGTTGCTTCGCATCTTGTTCTTCGTTACTTCTCGGCTGTTACATCAAATCTAATTTCGACATAATATGTACACATTACCTGAGATAGCTACCAGGAGTAACGGCATCGATGCCTGCCAGACTCTTGTAAAAAAGCTGGCATCAGATTGCGCCTCTAGGAGCAATTTTGGCACTATGTCCGTATCTATCTATGACACAGCTTGGTTGTCTATGGTCCAGAAGCCAGGCGATGACGAGGAATGGCTGTTTCCTGAGTGCTTTGATTATATTCTCAGAAACCAGCTGGAAGATGGCAGCTGGCCAAGCTATGCCTCCGTATTGGACGGCATATTGAATACTGCGGCGGCATTACTAGCTGTCCGAAAACACTTATCCCGTATCCAGAAGGCTCCTGGCCTTCAAGGAATATCATCCAAAGCAGAAGGGGCGCTTGCGGAGTTAATACGTGGGTGGGATGTGTTCTCCTGCGATCAAGTTGGTTACGAGGTTCTTGTTACGACTCACCTGAGTTTACTGGAGAAAGAAGGCGTCATATTACAAGTTCCACAATTTGAGCAGCTGAAGACTCTGCGAGAGATGAAATTATCTCGACTGCCAGCGTCATTGGTATACAAGGGACCATCAGCTCTATATCACTCCCTAGAAGGATTAATTGGGCACATTGACTTTGATAATATTTCCCAGTGGCGGGAATCGAACGGATCTATGATGGGTTCTCCGTCCTCTACGGCTGCCTATCTGATGCATGCATCGAAATGGGATGATTTAGCTGAGGCATACCTCCGAGATGCCCTATTAAATGGGAGTGGTCAGGGGCGTGGAAGCGTGCCATCAGCATGGCCCAGCTCGATTTTCGAGGTCTCCTGGGTAAGCTAAGCTTCAAGGTTATCATCTTGTAGTATGAAGCACAACACTTACCTACCGTACACAAGGCGATAACGACACTTGCTGAGTCGAACATCCCTATCGGCGAAACAGAAGCTACAGCCATAGGAATGTTCCTGGAGACGTCTTTGCAAATGCAGAAGGGCATTGTTGGCTTTGGTGATCCTTTCTTTTTTTTTTCTTTTTTTTCTCTTCATTTTGTACTTCCCAAAAAGATGTACTACTGACCACCTAGCCTTTAGCGCCTGGATCACTCGCAGATGCAGATGACACGGCCAAATCTGCAATGGCTCTATTCTATCTTGGTCGAAAAGGAGAGCCTTACGTCGAAGCTCTTATTGGCGCCTTTGAGACTGCCGATCACTTCCAAACCTACCTGGCTGAACGTAACCCAAGTCTAAGCACTAACATTAATGTGCTTTCTTGTCTACTACTCATAGATGACCCCCTTCCTTATGTACCGCAGATTGCTAAAGCAGCCTCTTTCATATGTCAAACAATCTTCGTTGGAGATGTCAAGGAGAAATGGGTGAGAATTCCTTGACCTCATTTCTTTCAACTTCACCCTTCTCTATATCCAGTGTAACTGACATTGGGAGAACAGCACCGACATCAACTATACTGGATGATGCTTCTATCAAAGGCCGTGGTTCTTCTGTATAAGCAGACGCAGAAAAATGGGACTTTTTGTGAACACCTCCTGGTAACTGCACCTCATCTCAAGGAGCAGATTCCCACCATCTCACTTCAGGTCGTGATGACTGTCTTGAAAATGCAGAATAATCATGGAAATTGGGAAGAGAGCTGTGAACTCACATCTTACGCTATCTTGACACTATCTTCATTTGCACAACTCCTCTTGGGAGGGGCGGGACTGCACGAACGGGTATATGATAGTATTAATCAGGGAAAGGTATTTCTCGCTGCGCACAGAGCCCAATGGAAAGACGGTGCATATTTATGGACTGAGAAAGTTACATATTCTTCAAGTATTCTTTCGGAGGTCTACTGCCTTGCCGCGACAGTCAATTGTGCGACATCGCCCGCTACCATTGCAATACCATCACCATTCCAAGTCTCGGAGAGAGTACTACAAGACATGAGCAAAGCAAGGGATCTAATCAGTCGCACGCCTCTCTTCAGCCAAGCCGATGCTCAGCTTCTATTTTCTGCACAGGTGCAGGCCTGTTATATTCTATCGGACCTTCAATGTCGCCGTCTGGACATATTTCCACGTACAGGGATGAAAGAAGATAAATACCTGACATTTATTCCTCTCACCTGGACGGCATGTATGTCACTGCAAGATGACTGTGTCAGTCTTGCGGTGCTTTTCGACATGATGGTCTTGTCGATGCTGAATTATCAGGTAGACGAATATATGGAGGATATGTTGGAGCACGAGTACCAACATAAAGAGTGTTTCGCATCAGCGCGAGATACAGTAAAGCAATTATTTATCGAGACCGCTCCTAGCAAAAATGAGCAGGATGAAACTCCTAGGAATCGCAACATTCCCCCAGGGACATCGAAATCAAACCTGCCAGACCGCAATGACAAGGATGATACCAAAGTCAATGGCCATGAGAATGGCAATAGCCTTGACCTTAGCCACATGAAAGTAGTGCTTAGTCGCTACATCGCCCATATACTTCAGCACCCTTTGGTGGTAAAGAGCACTCGAGATATTCAGACCCGACTTGCTAGGGAACTAGAAACATTCCTTCTTGCTCATATCGATCATGCAGAAGATAATTATAAGTTTGCCCATCAATCGAATAAGAGTTCACTGAGCTTTCCCGTCCCTAGTAACAAAACGTCGCATAAGGCTCACAACGGGAATCGCGACACCACAGGAGATGCGGAAAGGGAAAATATAACCAATGGGGCCCGTGGCTATCTCAAGCAATACGAGAATCCAGGCCGGACATTCTACAACTGGGTACATACCACGTCCGCAGATCATACCTCGTGTCCCTTCTCTTTCGTCTTTTTCCAATGCCTGCTATCCGCTACCCACGGAGACGTTGCGGGCCGCAGGCCCAAGATAGCGTACCTTGTCGAGGATGTGTGCAGGCACCTCGCTAGCCTATGCCGAATGTACAACGACTACGGCTCTCTAGCCCGGGATCTTGATGAGTCGAATTTGAACTCGCTCAACTTTCCCGAGTTCTCTGGAAAGGATGGCGGCATAACAGAACAAGAGGCCAAGGCCCAGCTTATGAGCATTGCGGAGCACGAGAGGCACTGTCTCAGTGTCGCGCTAGATCAGTTGGATAATGAGCTTTCATCAAGCAGTGGCAGAAACAATGGTAAATGGATGAGCGCGATTAGATTTTTTGTCAATGTCACGGATCTGTATGGGCAGATATACGTCGTGAAGGATATTGCTACGAGGAAGTAACTTACGTACCTTAGGTACCTAACCAAAGGCAAAGCTGCCATTCTGGATTGAGAAAGGGAGTTACACATTGACTAGGCCGTCAGAAAAGCAGCTATAGTGTACGCAATGAGTGAGCCGGCTAGATATGGATTATGTATTTAATACTTTTTATCTTCCATCTCTTTATCAGTATGCATAGATTCAGATACTAGTGACGTATAGCTGCTTATGACTCGGGTTTATTGACAATAACAGCAACTGAGTAGGATAAATTTCAGACGATGCATACGGCTTCGTATTCTTAACATGTAAAATACTTAAATAAAAGATATTTAAATATATTTGGTATTACGTGAGAAAGTGTTGTAAAGTAGCATTAGTTAGTTATTTACATGTTTAGCCTTTAGGTTATGTTTTCAGTTATACCTATCAGTGATTTACTCTCACATAAGTTTATAGTTATTCCCCCTTTAACAATGTTATGCTTTCGTTGCTGACTTCAACACAAATCCCTAACCTTTACACATCCTGAAATGCCTAATCCGAGACTATCGTTTATCCTTAACACCTAAGCTTAGGTCTTATAAACAGTATAATCTCACTGGAATATCAGTGATAACACTGCCGGCAATAGGAGTAGCAAAATAACAACAATAGCAATGCTAATAATGGTAACAAAAATGTAATTTGCTAATAAATACATAGGTACCTACCTAGGGAGCAAGGGTTTGAATATGCGGTGTAAATCCTTGAATTCGTCCGTGCTATCATATCATCTCTTAATTATGGTAGACGCATTATGCACACAAGGTAGTTGGTGTTGATTATCATGTTGGCTAATCTTGAAGGGCCAGGGCGGTTTGGGTCCGGAGAGATATAGGGGTTGGCTGATACGGTCAACAAACGACCACATAGATATATACCGTAATAGACGCCTAATCAAGCACATACGACCATAGGATCAGGAAAACTCGGGATCCCGTTCGCTCTCCCATAGATAAGCCTGATACCGCCAGATTAGTAGTTGGGTCGGTGACGACCAGCGAATCCCTGGTGTTGTATGTTTTTTTTTTCTTTTTTTCTTTTTTTCTTTTTTGCTAATTTCGCTCTTCCTTTTCACGTTTTATTCCTTTTATCTTGATTTTCATTGCTCGTTCAATCGAGCTCTTATCTGATGCATTTATTGAGTTGTTATTGAATTATTAAATTTATCTATTAAAGGGCACGGGAATGAGTTGATTCCTAGGTAAGTACCTACGTATAATAGCGCGTGCTCTAGCCAAGCCTCATTCTAACAACGATAAGGACGAAAGCTAGGCACGATTGCAGCATCGTTTAGAGTATTTTGGGAGGGCACAATGGTTTACCGCGCCCTTGCATGTTGGAATAATGTTGAAGATGCCGGTAAGGATTCTAGTGTCAGGGTATAAGTGGGTTAGGGGCAGATTCAGGGGTATATCTACTGGGAACCTCTTGAAAGACAAGACAAAACTCAAGTTTAAATATTCGAATTATATATAATACCAAGAGATCACTATATAGACTCCCAAGCGATCGTAGAGTCTAGTTAGGGGCCCTCGTGCTGTGGGAGGACATTCTTGTCACGCCTCCGCCACCTCCGCTTCAACCTCTCACCAGAAAATCTCGATGTACTCTTTTGTGCTGGAACATTACTTGCATTTGTAGTCGTAGGTCTTTCGGTGGGATCTTTTTTAGCCCGCAGCTGGAACCGCTCTGAGATGGCATTCACATTCCATGCCAAGAAGATAGCGGGAATAGAGACGGCAGCCGTCACACCAACTATTAAATATTAGTACTTGGCTTCATGGGTGTTGGAGATACTCACAAAGAATCGGAAATAGCCACCATGCTTCGTACTTCAAGTCTCCTGATTCGTGGGGGAAACTAGTTACGTCGAGTGCAAATAGGGATGAAAGGAACGAAAGGGGGAGCTTGATAAATGGACGATATCATCAGCTAGGAGATCTTTCCAAATATTTTCATATCACTTTATAACTAAGTACTTACGAATACAATGGTGACGACGGTGAATATAAATATACTTTTCGATTGGTTAGCAGAATCGTTTGCTTGCACTCGGTTGTACTCGGCTTGTCGCAAGTCGAGAAGGTCGTTGATCTATCTTCCTAGTTAGAGCAAAGTAAAGGCCATCTAGGAAACAATAAAACTAACATAGTTGGTCGTTTTCTCCGCTTCCAAGAGCATGTCGTCTAGACTCTTCTTGACATCAGTAGGCGTGCAAGAGTGATAGTACTGAAATTGACCCGGGTGCTCTATATGACCCCCTGAAGTAAAGGCCTGTTTCCAGACGACATCTTGGTCCTCCGCTAAAGACCTGAGGATATGGAGCTCATCACGAATATCCCGTATCAGTTCAAGAAGCTCGGTCTCGGGTGAGATGATATGATAGCGATTCTGAGATGTTTGCTGGGCTCGCGAATTGGACTGAGGTTCTTTTCCGATGGGGCCTCCTTTGGGGCCTCCTTGTCCCTTGGCTTCGTTACGCAGACCTTGGAGAAAATCTCGGAAGAGCCGAGTTTCATCATCAGCCTAACAAAGTCAATTAGCTCCAACCATTAGGTACCTAGTCATAGTCATAGTCATGATAACGAACCACTTTTCTGATCGATTCCCTGAATATCTCGATCGGTCCCTTATTTATTCGTTGCCCCATGTCTTGACCTGGACAGGATATGAACTTTTCCATGAAGAATCCGCTTGCAGCTCCTACAAACAGCTCCATAATAGACTGAACCGACGTAGCACGCTCAAACCGACTTCTGGTCTCGCCATATAGAATATTGTTCTGAATACTCTGGAACAAATTCTTCGTGTGTACCGAATCCTCTGTCGTAGCGCTGATAATTGTTTCTGGGATGCGTTAGCTTGGACACCTGTCTGTATTTATTGATACCGATAGCCATACTTTCATCGATGATCCATATCCATATTTGATTTACCAATAAAATCTTCTTTCGACCTAGTCCATCTTTCTCGTTTAGGAATTTTGACAGGACTTGATCATTATCTCTTTCGTCGGAATTAGCAATAGTTGGGTAGTAGTACTGGTCAAGCGTCATGGACTTGTGTTTGATTTGTCTCGAGTTATAGTTACTTATTGACTCCTCGAACTTATCAGATCTATCGGTATTACAGTCCGAGTCTACGCGAGGATAAGTCCCCAATGTGAGATATGGCATCTATTTTGGTGAGAGTTAGTATATCATGTTACAACCCGGAGCAAGGCTTTTGTTAATACATACATAGAGAGCCGCGCAGGTAGAATTCTCTCTCAACGGCTGGTTTCTATTTTGATTATCGTTCGGGTGATCGGAATGGTCTATTTCTTTTCGCTATCGAGACGAAGGTGGTTAGCTCTTGATATTATCGTAGAAACACACTTGCACACGTACAACGCATTGCGGTTTCATGTAGTTCCGTTTCCCACCCGCCGCCAATTCGGTCCAGCTGTTATTAAAGTGCTTCATCAAGGCCGTATGGTCCATCGCCAAACGTTTTGCATCATGCGACAACCGACAAACTAGGTCCTTGAGAGAGAGGTTAGTATGCGGTTTCTGTGTAAACTGAACAATTGTGTGAAGCCTACTCTCATGATTTGTAACTGTTCGTGATGTATCTGTCAATATTGTGTAAAGACTAGCATTCACACGGAGCTGGGGCCCTTACATCATTAACGGGAAGATGAATCCAACGAAGCTTAAGATCTCCAGTAACTCCACCGAAGCCCCCTTCATTAATATCGATGTCATGTTGAGCTGGTTCGGTTATCGCGGTGTACGGAACTCCACGGTTACTCAAGGGGTTTTCAACCCCCCGTCTTCCTTCATCATGAACAGTACGCTCTAATTTCCTCTTCAGCGCATCTAAGTTTAAGTTCTTTCGGGCCTTTGCCATGAGGTATTCCGGACCTTCTTCGTAGACGATATTATTGATACTGGACTTTGTATATGGGATGCTTACCCTTCCGCCTTTAGAGTAAATATCGACAATATTCCCTTGCATCTTCAGCGCGGGATTTTCTTCGTTTGCAAGTATTGGTGGTAAAGTTACGCGATCATTATTTGGGTTGGCAACTCGGGCAAGGATTGGAGGTGGATGCAGAAGTAAACCTTTAATGTAACTTTCGACGCTGTCGTCTCCATCTCGTCCTGGCAAAAGCTCAAGGGCGCTCTCAATACAGTCGGAGTATCCACCCTTTGACAACAGCCACCATACCACGACGGCTTGGGAGCAATAGACTGCCAAGTGAAGAGTTGTGAAACCTTGTCGATCTTCAACTTGTTCATTCAGGTACCATTGCTGAAGTAGTTGATGCAAGACGACTTCATTTCCAGGTGTTTCATATATAGCGAGCAGCTCGAGGATCTTACTGGCCTTTCCGGGACTCTTCTGCATAAAGCTCTTGTCGGAAGTCCCAAGTTGACTGATGACATCCCAAAATAGGTCTTCCAGGTTTTTATGTCTTCGGGTTATCGAAATTGTTAGGGGAGACTCGCTTTGGCTATTTTGTTTTATAATAGCTTCGACCCTGTCAGATTGCTTCGGCATCATCTGTAAGAGAGATTGCACAGTCTTGACGTTGCCATCAATAGTTCCTAGATGTAGAGCTGTGATACTGTCTTCGGCCGTCGAAAAGACATCAATATCATGGGATGGTGTCTCCCCTAGAAGCTGAATAAATCCATGCTGTCCGTGTAGAGCTGCCACGTGAAGCCAGGTTGCGCCGTTTCGTTTCCATTGGAGCACCTCTGGGTTTTGAGAGATGCAACGATGAGCCAGCGTGAAGGCACCGTTCACGATTGCCCAATGTAGGATCCTCTGAAGAGGTTCTTGTTCCTGGTATTTGGTATTTTCAAAGCTCTTCAACAAGTTGTCCTCAACTTCACGAACATGCTCCATACTTGTCGTACGCTCCGCAAAGGCCTTCTCTTGCACAACATTTTGTGGAAAATAAACTGGTGTCGCTAATATTTCAAGCGCAATATCAATATTACCGCACATGACCGCAGTATATAAGGGTGTATGTCCATCCTTGTCACAGATTGTAACCGTCGCACCGTTGTTTATTAGAGCCTTAGCATTCTCAAGTTGGCCGAAGCGACAGGCCAGTGCTAAAGCAGTCTGTCCGTCGTTGTTTGTGATGGTCATGTCAGGTCCCAGCTGCAGGAGCGTCTTAACGGTTTGTGTATCTGGTTTACAGCAAGCCTCCATAAGAGCAGTGGACCCATTAGAGGCCACTTTGTAGTTGATATCAGCACCTAGGTCGAGAAGACATCGGATATGCTTGTCCTTCTGTTTCTCACAGGCCATCCAAAGAGGTGAATAGCCGGCACGGTTGGGCTGGTTAATGTTTAATCCTGCGCCAACTAATGTCTCCATAATGTGTTTGTGTGAGTCCGAGAACTCATTATCTCCCAGTACAACATTATGAAAACAATTATTGCGTTGACCATCAACATTAGAAATTAATGCACCATGAACTATCAACGTCTCGAGACTCCGTAGTTGTGCGTATAAACAGGAATGTAGGATAGGGCTGTCATCATCTTTATTTCGCCTGTGAATATCTGCTCCGTGGCTGATAAGCGCCTTGATAATTTCTGTATGGCCTCGCTCACAAGCAAAATGCAATGGAGTCTTTCCTATAAATCCTGACTGGTTTATTGGTACTCTCAACTTCAACAGCCATACTACCACGTTATGACTACCATTGAGGCATGCCAGATGTAATGGTCCATTCGAGAATTTGTTCATGCCGTTTATCTGCTCCTTTGGTCCTCGTTCCAAAAGAAACTGCATTATTTCTTGTTTATTATATATGGATGCGGTGAGAAATGGTGTGGTACCATCCTTATCAAGCTTGGTCAGGTCCGCTTGTGCATCTAAAAGGCAAGCAACGACTTCGCGCTGGCCATATCTACATGCTAAGTGTAATGGGGTTGTGTCGTATAGGCCTTTCTGGTGTATATCTGCTTTATGAGAGAGGAGCAAATCCACGCTGTCTTTCGGACCGCGTCGGGCAGCCATGTGCAGTGCCGTCTCGCCAAGCTTCGAATCGGCAGCCTTCACATTCGCATTGTTCTCTAGAAGAAACCTAACGATCGCAGTTTTACTTAATGCTGCTGCTAGAACCAGTGGAGTAACCATGACTGTGTTGGTTCCGCGTTCTTTGAACTTATACTGCAGCTGTATCTCAAGTAAATCTTCTCTAGATCTCAAAAGCTTTTCTAGTTCGATGCAATCACCGTTTCGAATCACTTCTTCGAGCTTCTGCTCCAAGTCGTTGGGTAAAGGGTTGGTCGAGACCAAGTTAGGATTATTATTCGAGGTGGTGCTATCATCAGTAGGGGGCGGTTCGGTTATAGGTGCTATCAAATTTATGGGCTCATTGGAAGTTTCCATGGCGGTGGAAAGTCTTTCGCAAGTATGCTTTGCGTGCAACCAAAATGAGTATAAAGTTGTAGAGAGAGGAATTTTGTTTTCGCATAATGATAGAATGACAGGCCTGTTAACGGTTAGTAGAAGCTACCTGGGTGCCTAAGGCATCTATACCTACATACGTGTATTGCTGATCTGCATGAGAATGCATGAATCCCTGTATTTTATACGCTGACTAAAATTACATGAATCCAATCTATTTTCATATTGTATATTAGAAAGTAAAAGGTACAGGACTGTATTGACCCATGCCCTTCCAAGAATAGGGGGTGGCATACCCATTTTATAGACCTGGTGTAAAAAGGAATTTCCGCAGTAACTACCTATATAAACCTAAAGCAGGTTCACTCCTATAGTATTTTCGTTTTTTAATTCCTCCCTATCATTAGTTGATCTATCCAGTTGATCATTAATACCGTATTCCGTCTCTAATTCTTTTCGAAGCTCCAGCCCCTCCTCTCCTGCAACCGCAAAGAAGCTTGCCAAACTAATGCCTAAGCCTACCCACCAGATTATTCTCAAGCTTTTTGTGTAAACTTCCCTAGTTTCGGCCCAAACGCCTGGGTCAAGAGCTGATCGTATAGTATGTACCTGGCTCGCAAAGGAGTATGCTGCCCCGCCCCGCAGTTGGCCCCGTAGCGTTTGGTCCGAAATATTGTATAAGTTGGCATCAAAAACAGCATTGAAAACGATGCTTGAGATTGTCACTCCCCATATATAGCCGAAATTCTTAATAAAGCTGAATGTTGCGGACACCGTGGCAACGTCGGACTCTGGTAACTTGGCCATGATAGCAGGCAAAAGAGTAGAAATAATCATCCCGCAACCTCCACTGGCAATTAGTTCAAAGAAAGCCCAAGCAACTTTAGTTGTATAGCCGTTAAGTAAAGTAAAAAGACCGAAGGAGATGGCTGATAAAGCAAAGGCGGCAGCATGCAGCGGACGATATGCGCCAAATTTAGTCAATAGTGCCCCAGCGACGACGGCAAAAACTAATGACCCTAGTGCGAAGGGGAGAAAAAACGTGCCGGATTCTAGGGTCGTCGTGGCAAGTACTGCTTGAAAATAGACTGGCAAAAAGTATGAAACCATTTGTAAGATAACAGAAGACGTGAAGGTCAATATAAACGCCGTTACAGATGTCTTGTTACCGAAGAGCCTCGAAGGTACACTAGGGTACCAAGCAAAGTAATGTTGTTGAATATGGAAGAATATCCAACCAGCAATCCCCAGCACAAGCGGTAAAATAACACGCCAGGAGGACCATGGAAACTGTACGCCACCCATGATTAAGCCAAAAAGCAATGCGATCATGCTCGGTATGAAGATAAGTGATCCGAAGTAGTCTATCCGCTTTGCCTTTGAGATGAAGGATAGCGTGGAAGACTCGGCACCCTTCTTCACCCTCATGAATAAAACAAGAGTGAATAAAGCCAAGCCGCAAATAGGTATGTTGATCCAAAACACCCACCGCCAGTTTGCTTGCGCCAGAGCACCACCAACTGGAGGGCCTAAGGCGGCTGCAACTCCTGACCAAGAGAACATGAGGCCCAGGTACTTGCCTCGCTCACGAAGCGGGACTAAGTCACAGCACACGATGTCAATGAGGACGTAGATACCTCCGGCACCGATACCCTGGACTGTGCGGCCCGCGATCAGCATACCAACGTTGTACGCACCGCCGGCGAGTCCGCTGCCAAGGGTGAAAATGGCAGTTGCTGTGATGATGGGAATCTGTCGGCCAAAGGCGTCTGCGATTTGACCAAATAAGGGCTGCAGAACACTAGAGGCGACTATGAACGAGTTCGCAATCCACGCATATTGTTCGGCCCCTCCAATTTCCGCCGTGATTGTTGGGAGGGCAGTAGTAATGATAGAAACGTCCAAGGCTGAAATAAACGACAAGAGGCAGAGAGAGGCAAAGATGCCCCAAAATCGAAGACCTTTGGCAGGCGGCTTCGATGCTGCTTCTCTGTCAGTTGACCCGGGGAGGGTTGGTCCGGCTTTAGTAGCCATTTGAGAAGGAAGTCTCTGTTCTAAACTGAACATCCACTTAGAGACAATTGAATATGAACAGAGCTGTAGGTTTTGAATAAGAAATTGGCTCAGTACCTCCCTAGGTACATACTTATCCTTAAGTATCGTTGGGCTAGGATCGAGTTAGGACTTGAGAAGCAAGGGATGGTGTTGGTAGCATGAAAAATAAATATTGCATTTCGTCACACAACAAAGAACAGCAAGCTGCCTGTTCCGAGTCTACGCTACTAAAATCGCCAGCAATACAGATTCATCTCCAGAGAAATATTATCTGCTTTTCTTACTTCACAACTTATCGTTATAGTTTCAAAATGTCCACAGCCCCTATCATCGAAGCTCTCAAGCAGGTCCTTCCAGCTGACCAGCTTCATTTTCGTGGTACAGATGAGTTCGACAAGATCAATGGATCGTATCTTTCAGCGCTCGAAAATGATATCACCCCAGTCGCCATTATCCTACCTAAGACACCGAAGGACATTTCTACCTTCTTGCTTACCATCAATCCTTTTGTTGCCCGCGGCGAAATGGCCTTTGCCATCCGAGGGGCTGGCCAGCAACCCTTACCAGGTTGTGCGAACATCCAAGGGGGGATAACATTGGACTTGCGCCTGTTAACTGGTATCGATCTCGACCTGGATACTGGGATTGTGTCTATTGCCGCTGGCGAACGCTGGGGTACAGTCTATGAGAAGCTGCATGAACACGGTCTCGGTGTGACTGGCTCTCGGTCTGCGAAAGGCGGCATTGGAGGATTAGCATTGTCAGGTACGAGTAATTAAATATTAGTTTAATCAAACCTAACCATGATATTAGGAGGCCTCTCCTTTTTCTCTTCTCGCGAAGGCCTTATTTGCGACAACGTTATCAACTACGAGGTCGTCCTAGCTTCCGGTGAAGTTGTCAGTTGCAATGCCAATGACCACCAAGATCTCTGGAAAGCATTAAGAGGCGGGGGGAATAGCTTTGGTATAGTAACAAGATACGATATGAGAACTTTCAAGCAAGGCCCGTTCTGGGGCGGCAGCGTCTTCTATTACCCAGCAAGCTTTCCTAGTCAGATCGATGCCTTGGTCCAGCAGTTACAGAATCCAGAAGCAGAGACTCATATCATGATTAGTCTCTTCTTCGCAGCTCAATTTGGCCAGCCTATGGGACTAAACCAGCTTTATTACACCCGCGAGGTGGAAAGTCCCCCTGTCCTAGATCCATTCGTCAAGGTACAGCCACAGCTTGATCAACTCAACTCGATGCGAATGGTCAATTTGAAAGATGCCGCAGCTGAACAAGCTGCAATGGCGATGGAAGGGATAAGGCATGTATATTTCTCCCTATTATCTTGCTGGACATTGAGATGCTCATACGAAATAGATGTGCCTACATGAATACTACGGTCAAGGCAGATGCTGAAACCCTTAAAGCCGCAGCCGAAGCCTTTTCCGCGAGTCTTGACCATGTTGAAGGTTTTGAAGACGTCGTTTTCTCCTTAACACTCCAGCCCTACCCTGTCTCCCTCCTCGAGCAGTGCATATCTGCAGGTGGTAATGCCACAGGCCTAACTCCTACTACGGGTCCGCTAGTTTCTATTTTGGTATTGATAAACTGGAAGAACAAGAGCGACGATACCCAAATTCTTGCTGTAGGGAAGGACTTGCTTGATACAATCGAGCGGGACTCTGTAGCAAGAGGCCAGGCCGTTCCATACAAGTATTTAAATTATTCATTCAATTTCCAGGACCCAATCAGCTCCTACGGGCCGGAGAATAAAAGCTTTCTCCAGCAGGTCAGTAAGATATATGACCCTGATGGTATCTTTCAGAAAGGATTCCCTGGAGGATTTAAGCTATTTGTCTGAATATCTCTATGGAGCGCTAAAGAGCGTCGGATAGTTAGGTAGCTAAGATAGGGGGTAGGTAATAACAGTACCTTGGGTACTCTAGCTACCTCCTAGAATTAAGTTAATCCATTTGCTTTCCTCGTATACCTCTATACATGGCCTGATCTACACCGAGATGGATAGACCAATTACCTATGTAAATTTACCTAATTAAGTGCCAGGATACATCTAGACCAAAGGATACTTTCAGTATGTATCTTCCTCCCCTTCATTTTGCATTTCCCATGTATACCAGCTTCAGCTAAACACGTCGAGCTTATTACCTCACAGTAGGTCCTCCCCAAGTACAGCAGAGACACTAGCACGATCCATACCAGGTTCCCAATGAACATACCGTTTGATATGATAACTATCGCACGATTAGCTTTTAACCCCTTTTCCTTGGAGATCGACAATGCTACTGCTTACGTCCAATTAAAAATGCCTGTGCACACAAATCTACAACTCGCAATAAATCTTCGCATTTCGTAGACAGCATTTCGATCTTCACCAAGCTTCATCAACTGTGGCTCCAATGCCTCAAAATCCAGATAGGCCTGGTGCGCAATTCTACTTGCCTTGTTGACGGCTTCTTGAAGTGTGATTCCTTGATGATGGACAAGAAGAGGTATAAGATTGTCGACATGTTTACATTGCTCCTTATTATTAGTATAGTATAACATGGTTATTAAGGATGATATAGTTACGAGTTCTTGTCGTGCTGACACGATATCATTGGTGCTGCTTATTGTTAGTATCGCACATCTTGGTACTCATACTATGCAAGGATACTTACACCCAGACAATGATGTTAGACAACTCTGCAGCTTTCTGAACGAGAGTATGGTCGAAGAACCAAAGAGGGAAGGCAACCTGATCAGCAAACCTAAGCTAGTGTTAGCTTAAATCTTCGAATGGGCATACGGCGACCTACAAAACCATTGCTAAAGTAGGAAATACCGCGGATGAGTCCATGCGGATCTTCCAATAGGTTTCGAGATCTAAGATGCTTCTCTTATCAAACTCGCTCTGGAGGTGGAATGTAGCCGTGATAAAATCGACAAGGACTTTAAAAAACCAGTTCTTCAATGAGGCTGATATATGCCTAGGTTAATAACACAACTATTCCTCGTGGTTTAGGCTGTTCTTACAAGATACGCTCTTCTCGCCTACAATAGCCCCCCACTCATGAATTGATTGCGCGGTAAGGTAGTCTGGAGCAATTATGGTAGGGTCGACGGAATTAGGGTGTTCGTTGAAAAGACTTTCGCGGAGTAACTCTATTGTCTGCTTCTGGTGGGCGACAATCTCCTCGTACTTGTCATCGAAATCTCCAAAGTCGTAGGCTGTGATAAGGTCAGAGTGATGATATTATTGACACATTGAATATCTCACCATCATCCCAGTAATATAACTATCACCTTGTTAATAATTCTGCCTTAATGAGCTCTCCGGATGTCGGCTTCTTGAAACTCACCCAAGCCTGGTACTTAGCTACAGTCACCAACTCATCAAAGGCTGCCTTCGGTGCAATGCCTCGTGCGAATAGGCAAGAGTTGACTATACGGTTACGCTTCAAGCTCGTTGGGTCATTGATCCATCTTAATTGTCAGAGAACCGAATTAGTAGTTGGGTTATCTTCCCATGGCCTTACCTCAATCGCCATAACTCTATTTCCCCCCCTAGCTTCTCGTCTAGAGGAGATACTTCCACATCCCAGGGGCAAAGAACGAAGAGATCTGGAATCTCAACCCTCTGGCCGATACACTTTGCAAGAAGCAATTCGAAATCTGTCTTGCTGCTTAGTGTCGACATCTTAGCGATAATTTTAGGGAAATGGGATAAGGTTGTCGGCCCGGTGAAGAGCTAGTAATAAGTAAACAGCAGTATATGGAAACGATTTATTGGTATTTAACCTTTAAACAACATAAGAGCCCAACGTTCATTTATTTAATGTACAGACACCCAACTATACTCCAACGTACGGCCTCAACAGTACCGACAGCGAGAGAATATCAGAACATTGCCTTGCAACATCGCTCCGGAGTGATGATACGAAGGTTGGGCGAGGGTCCACCGTTTGTTGGGAGGGCTACCCCAAGATCACTTGGGATGTCTGGGCGAAGGCTGCATGCATATATAGGTACCTAGGTCCTACCCGTGATCGCGACTAGTTGCCTACTTCGTAGCTTCTTGCATGTCAACCGTGTTGCCTTCTTAGCTCACATGAAGAACTCGGCGAATTCTTCGCAGGAGCGTTTGACATATCTAGAAGAAATGTACCCGATTGGCCCTATAGAAGTAGTATAAATGCAGGCTGCTGTTTGAATCAAGCTTTTAGAGTTACATTGAAGAGAGGTGTTACAATATAACACACCTTTTAGCACCAATTCCCATAAGACATGTTCTGTGTTTTTGTGTGACTTTGTCTCGACATATTCAAAGTTACGGCTATAGCATCTAATTCCGCTTGATTGCCTTTCACATACACCTAAAAGGATATAGGCTAGACCTCGATTTATTGTCCGTACATGTTGTGAGACGTAGTTCCCGGTCTCTGTTACGGGACCGGTACTATGCGCCGTTAATATATAGTCGATCCTACCTAATTACGACATAGGTCTATCCGGCTGCTCATTAACTAATAGTATAAGTTCTTATCTCGGATGACCTCAAACCAGATTTCGTTGAACTGGCGGGCTACGCCCGCCAGCGCCACCGCCGCCACGAAACGCATAGCCCGTGTTATTGTAACTGTAGGTCACAGGCAAGGCGTTCAACAAAATCTGGTCTAAAGTTACTATAGGCCCAATCCTCACTTAAGGTAAAATTTTGGTAATAAAAATTAATGTGGCTAAAGGGGTACAACAAAACGAACGAGATTTCGAATTTCTGGTCTAAGGTCACCTGAGATAAATAAGTTCTTGGTTTGAAAACCCAAAATACGCTCAAGGTCCTTATTTGTTCCATTTCCCGATTGCAAAAGTGACATTAGATCAAAGTAAGGGTTGGGTCTTCGGTCACTTATAGTACGTTCTTAGGACTTCACTATTCTCCACTTTGGCAGCATCTATCGAATAGTCCGGTATAGTGTAACGGCTAACATACCTCGTTTTCACCGAGGAGCTCGGGGTTCGATTCCCCGTACCGGAGAATTTGATTTTTTTTTTGTTCCTTTTTCTCCTGGATAACACACTAGTCTAGTCAGGCTTTATAATAGATATTAAAAATTAAAACCTCATATTAATAGAATTTACCATAATGTAACTCAAACTTTTAGTATTTGGGAGTTATCAGTGATTAAAAATGATTTACAGGCCATCTAGAAGTTGCTATTAATGAATTGGGTACCTAAATAGGTAATGAGAGATTATAGACATACTCACTAAATTTCCGTAAACCCCTTTCAAGCTGTCAAGATAAGCGAAGTCTTCACAGGCCATTCTTATAATGAACCAACCCCGTTCTCCCCCGCACGACTACTTATATCAGCTACATTCCTCAGGCCAATGTTCTGCCCATCCATCCCCCATAGAATGATTATCCTCAGGTCCTTCGTAACGATAGCCGCAATCTTCTTCAGCCATGACGCAACTGCCAGATTCATGCACTACCTCATAATTCAGTGACCCGTTGTAGATATCCCGAAGAACTTTGGTACCTTCCTTATGTGCCTCGGAGAATAGGTCCGCACCACGTAAGAGCTGTAACAGAAAAGACAATAGGCGCTCTGTGACCTTTATGTCTATCGGCCGAAAGCAAACGTAGGTTATTGGGCCATCCCTCACATTATTTGGAACATATATAAGCACTAATTTGGCTGGTTGACATTTTAATGCTTGCCCGTCCCTCAAACCTGTCTCCAAAGAGAGACCCCTCATGAGAAGAGCATCGAGGAGAAATCCAACACCAATATTCAAGACTATTGGAGCTCCATATTTTGCATTATCAGATGCGCTGAAGTTCAGTCTATAGTCTTGGCCCTTAGGCACGTCGGAGATGAGGAAGTCGTCGGGACCAATACAATAATTGATTCCTAGTCCTAGAACTTTGAATTTATCTGGGTTAAGCTGAACAATTAGTGGTATGCGTTCTTGCAGGTCAGGCTTAGTATTCATGAACATCTTTAAGAGCCTGACCGTAGGCTCAGGCCAAATATTACCGGAGGCGAAGAGCTCGATTATGAAACCTGCAAATGGACTGAGAAATGGCACTAGCTTCTTCCCCGATTTCCCTTGCACCCACCGTATACAAGGTCCTCGGGACGTTGCATCCGCCCCAAGAGAAAGGAGCGGTTCCAGAAAACAATCAAGCTTGTAGATTAACGAAGAATCTTTGCGACTAGAAGACCAAAAGTCTATGTTTCTCAAAACGTGCGTGGCTAACGACGATGGATTTGATGATCCCTTGATGGTAGATAAAATGAAGTTTCGAAATGTAAATCCAGTTAAAAGAGCTAAGAAATGAGGCCCAGTGCAGAATCGACTGAAAGACGATTCTGAACCAATCCAGTAATAATGTTCGTGATACCACGCCCATACGCGTCGCAGCATTTCATGGATAAGAGGTTGTAGACTCAAGTCCTTTATTTCAGATAAATATTCCAAGACAACTTCAACGTTTTCAATACGAAAACCCCGAAAGAATTTTGCCATGATGAGATGACCTTTGGCAAGCTGGAGATATAGTGTATCCGATGAGGAAGAGTCATACGCGCGAATACGATGGCCCTCTTCGGTGTCTTTTATAAAATCATAGGCCGTTCGATGAATGAATTGCACACACATGCTCCTTTGTCCTCGAATAAATTCGTAAAGAGTCGGGTCGCGTATGGGCGTGTCTTCCCCATCAGAGTACGTACCATATAACTCTAGAAGGCCCGCACACCGAACCCGTATATCTTTTACAGATACGGCCCATATCTGTTCCAAAGCTGCCGCGCTAATGGAGCTTTGTTTCTCGAGGATGATATCTTGGAGTTCAGTCTGCGTCGCACCCATGAAATGGAAAAAACGGAACTCGAAATCTGACACCCAGTGATAATAGTTCACCATGTGCTCGCGGTTGAGAATAAGCAAATTAAAATACCGAGCTGCAGCTTCCCGGTAAAGTTTGGAATTCCCATTCATTCGTTCCCACATGTCAGAGTACAGTTTCGTCAGTTCATTAGGCATTTCCTCGAGCCGCTGCCTGAGAATGTATTCTGTATCGTCCTTCTCTATTCCGTCAATCAAGCTTCGGGATGCTAAGTGAAGCCAGAGAAATACACCTTCTGCTTTCTCAATAAGAGACTCTTTGATGTCTGATCCGAAGGATTTGGATATCATACCACGGTTCACATACGGCTGTAATTGCGCAGCTGCAAACTTCTCCATGTCATCATGTGTCAAGTCCTGCAATCTCAGTTGTTGGTGTCTGCATAGATTAGACTGAAGCACCGGTTCAGGTCGACTGGCAACACATATTTTGACCTTTGGGTGTATCCTCAGATCATCGATCAATTTCAGTAGCGAGAACGGGCCGTCTTCTTCGCATATTTCATCTAACCCGTCGAGGAATATGCACACTGGGAACATATCGCTACCCAATATTGTGAAATAGAGATCTTTGAGCTCTTCAACATCCCAATCGGCAACCTCTTGTTTTAGTAACAGGGACTTGGAAGTGCTTAGGATTGAGCCCAGGGTTGTAGAGATCCTGTCAGAGAGAAGAGCCTGGTGAAGGATGGAGCAAAGAAATCCCTTCACACTTTTCTGCATTTTAAAACCTGGTTTCCAGAGGAAATGAGACAAAATGATAGGGTCTGCGTTCCACATCTTCAATGCTGCCTCTGTAGAAGGGCTTTTCAAGAGGTACTTCATTAGTGTGCTTTTTCCAGAGCCAGGTTTACCAGAAACCCTAATCCGTGTTAGAACAGGCATTCAATTAATCCCATTAGAAGAGAAGATCATTACCAGTATATATTGCTATCAGACTTGAGCCAGTCTTCAAAGTTGTCCCATGATCGTATAGGGGTTTCATCATAGTCGGATTCGAAAATCCATTGGAAGGTATCTTCGAATGAGCTAGTTATATCATTCTTCCTCTGATTCATGCCTTCATATCGGAGGCTGTTAAGAAATCGATCTTGCTGCTCCTTAGTTGAAGATTTTATATTTGATTCGATCGTGCATTGGTCCATTCTCTGGACAAGGTTGTTTGTTGTCGATGTAACATGCATCTTTATTGATTCCTCGGTCCTTGTCACTACGGTTGTAGTATGCATTTTAGTCGATTCCTCAGATTGCAAAGTTGCTCTGATTGTTTCATCCTTGACTAATGCCAGCTCTGTGTTGATAAGGTCGACGATTCTTGTATGGCCAGCGGCATACTGGGACGTAAAATATTGGATATCTTTGCCCAGCTTCTCGAATTCTTGGCTCTGTTGAATCTCAATGGCATCGCTCTGTGTGCTTGCAATCTCTAAGCCTCGCAGCTAGCACTATAGAGGAATCAAATACCTACCATACTCGAGCTAGTAAATAAGACTCCATTGTATTTTGGTGATTTTTGAGTGATTTCTCCAGTCTCTCCAGCCGACTCTTGCGCCAATATGTCTTCACCGCAGTTATTATAGTCGCCGCGAGATTACCCTTTGCATAATGAGACGTAAGGAACTTGACTTCATCTTTGAGCGCACGTGCTGCAACATTGCACTTCTGGGCAATATCAGCAAGCTGCTTCTCTTTAACTGTTTTTGACTTCGCTTGCAGAAAGTGCGTTTGCAGTTGAACTGAGAGTTCCATGAGTGATGCGATGCTCTGTTGGTTGTAGTCGTTGAAGGATCCACCGCGATATATTTCTTTACAAAAGTCAATCGTCTCGTGGGCAAAGCTAATCACCTGCATTATGTTGCAGGCAACGCTCAAGGCTTCGAGGCCAGACATTATCGTAACTCTTTTTTCTTTTTCGCTCTATATGTTTGTATTTGCGCCCCGATGGAACAGGTGAGGACAATATAATGGTATGGAGTAGGGACGAGTAGAAGCGTCTCTAGAGTCTAGATAACTCTGAATTAGCTGAAAATTACTCATTCTACCCAAAGTTATCAAGGCTGTGATATACTGGCAAACCCCCGCGATCGGCACATTATTATTTCCGAGTTATCGAGTTGAGCGCTATATGATTGGCGATTCACATACCTACTTGTATCTCAGCCAAAATGACTGGTTACACTTGCTGCTCTATTTGGAGACAGTGTCAAGTTCGGTTCAAGGTCAGCCAGCACATTCTAGTTACTCCTTACTAAAGAATATTGAAACACTAATTACACGGCGGAAATTAATTAGAATAGATGAAATGGTTAAATCGGGGATTTGGGTTGCGCTAAATAGCCTCATTCTCATCCTCGATATTTGCTCATTCAAGCACAGCATTTCGTTTACCGATTTAGTCCAAACACTTCTTTATCCCCTTTTCTATAGGATGCTGACTACCCAAGTATCCAAGTCATAGGTATCATTTGATTTGATTTAATGAAGTCTTCGGAACTCTAGTCTCTTATGTCCACATTTGACCGACTTAATTATAGCTGAGCTTGATACCCCGTGTAAGTGAAAGATATTACTCTTAAGGTTTACCATTTTCAGACTTCCCTATATAGGTAAGCTTCATTAATTACCTAGCTTGCATACGCCATCAAATCATTGTACATGAAATATCCAATCCAAAGTCCTTAGTACGCAAACAAAACTCTTAATTCAACGAGGCGGATTTGTTGGCGAGCCGTGAGCGAGGATATCGGAGAAACCGAATCGTGAGATTGTCACGTGGTGACTTACAAAGGAGGGAACCAGTGACATAAGGATTCAGCCATCGTTCTAGAATCTGGAACGGAAAGCCGGGGTTGCGCCACATTTGTGGTGCCGATCTAAGCTAAACGGTCTCGGCGCTTTAAGGTTCTGCCCCGATGTGTTTTTCGGAATGGAAGGTTGCCCGTGGGGGAGAGGCCACCTGCACCTACAATGAGGCTGTGTAAAAGCCGTTTTTCGCTTCATTTTCGCTTTTGCAATTCAAACTTGCATTTACTTCAGTGTAAGTAACCGAGGCATCTATAGCTGTTTACTTGTGTTTACAGACTCGATATCTTTTGTTAGGTTTCAATATGTGACGTTAGCGCCTGGGCCCTGGGCGTAGCCAACCTCCTGTATAGCCTATAGGACTTATCGTGCGGTGGTAGTTTTGCTCTCCACTATTAACGGCATTGCATGGGCACTGTCCACCAGCATGATTTCAGATAAGCAGGTAAACAAGCTATGTCGTTTGGCAACGCTGAATCAATGTCTAGGTTAAGACGTTGATATAGAATTTATTTTTCGCCTAACGTTAGTTGATGATCACGAAAGGCAGGCAAGTGACTATGGCTGTACGGTCACGATGGGGTACCAGGTATACAAGGGTAAGCCGAAGGAAATCCCGAGCAGTACCTGCATTATATTCCTTCAAAATTTAATTGTCCCATTTGAATACTACTTGCCTACCTAGAAGGTTGTCAGATTATAAATTAATTATCTAGGGATATGAGTTCCGAGGCGAGCAACATGCTTTGCCGCTGCTAGCAAGTTATATTGAAGTTACGTTTACGCCTTAAGACGTCGGAGAGTTACTTACATCGCCCAAATAGTTGTTTCATCACATGGAATTCATATTAATTTCCAGCCGAGATACTACAAGGTTACCATATTCAATGCCTTGGTAGATTTGAATATTAGCGAGGCTTATGGATGTTTAGTCGTGGCCAACTAATAGGGTACGAATTCTTACACAGCACTTAGAACGGCGATGAGTACCTAAGGTATCCTTGTTAATAAGGTTGACTCTCTTGGCCGTGCTTTACGAAACTTACTTGGGTATTCAACGCCATGGTAATGGCTTAGCAGCATTGATCAATGCTAACAGGTACCTAGGCTGTTAGGTTGACGATGTCTAAACATTTGCCCTTACCCAGTGATACGTATTGTACATACAACTCACCAGGATCTTCAACAATATAAGTGGGTATTTTACCCAAAAAAGCGAAGTATCAGCACACTCGAATTACTATGGCAAGATACAACTTCAGATAAATCTCGTGGTTTCTAAACGAGCTTTATCATCAAAAATTACCTATTTAAGTAAAGATTAAGCCAGAAGCTTCGAATCGTCTTGTATTTACCATAGTAAATATGCTGTGCTAATACTTATTAACTGCTTTAAGTAATTATCCCCACAGATATTGTTGAAGATCCTGGCGACTTGTACGTGTTGAGATGATCCATACGACGCTGCGGTCGGTAGTGGATACACGCCTAAGTCTGCTAAGTGGTGCATAGCCGCCCCCTGTCACTAGTGCACAAGCACCGGAAAGTTGCTGGGCCAAGATAACTAAGTCGATTTAATAGGCTGGTGTGGACTAGCGCTAGGTAGGGAGTGGGGTAAGGGAGGGATGTCAAGGTTTGACTGTGTGGCACTGTAACCTACCTAATAATCCACTGAGGCGGCTCAGCGTCTCTTTCGCCCAAATTCCAAACGATCCGAGAATCTACCACTTAACAGGTACCTACCTAGCATTAACTCAATTCCACCGCTTCCACTTGCGCAGCCACTACCGAGATCCCATACATATTCCACTACACCTCCTCCTCTTTTCCTTTCGTTTCCCTTCCTACAACAACCTCTCACCAGAAAACTCAATACACCGAGAACCCTTCACTTGGAAGAGAAAAATATATTTTATCAGCGACTATCTCGCTAACCTTCGACATTCGCGAATCGAACTATCTATTCTACATTCAAACCAACCTAGCGTTTGGAGATTATCACAAGAATATGTCCGGGTCTCAATCACCGACTTCTACCCCCTCCTCGCCGGCGCGGCCCCTCATGGAGCGGCGTGGGTCATCTAGATCGCTATCCCTAGATCTCTCCAGTCTGCCGCCATTAACGCAGCCAACGCCACCCACAAACACTCTACTTATCACCAACTTAAACGACACCGAAATATTCCGCCCTGACAACCTACAAACGCTTCGTGAGCTCATTCAAGGAACCGCACCGATATATACGTGGTCGCCATTAAAATCATTCCGCCGTATAATAGTATCTTTCTTCGACGAGCAAGCTGCTATCAGGGTACGGTCAGTATGGGACGGTGAAGCAATCATGGGCGAGCGGTGCCGAGTGTACTTCGGACAACCTACTCCTCTTGATCTCCACAAGGACGATCGGCTGCAGCTTCCCGATGCCGGCAAATTGTTTTTTATCAGCCCGCCTCCCTCACCGCCTCATGGCTGGGAGATGAAGCTGGAGGATGCACCGAACAAGCAAGTTCACGCCGACGACTTAGCGGAGGCCTTAGCGAAATTACGTCACCAAGCAGCTCCCGCAGACGTTTCCCCGATCTCTCCGGTTGAGTCTGGGCCTACCACATTTAAGAGCAGGAGCAGGAGTAGCACCTTAATCTACCACCCCGATGAGCATGGTGGCAGTCCGAATCTACCAGCTATTTCGGTAGATGATATGACAGATGAACCTATAGAGTTGGGACTTGGTCTGGGTGGAAATACGCCTCCGATAAAGACGCATACGGCCCGGCCGCCTGTTGAGCTTATGGGATAGGAAATATGTTGCATACGACTTATAGTTGAATAGGGATCGAAAACGAGTATATTTCCCTCGCAGTTCTGATAGTATGGCGTTACGGAAGGGCAGGTAGTCATTGGGTCTTGAGTCTAGAGTCTTGGTCGATATCCATATTCACCGCAGCATAACATCGCCTACGAAAGGGCATACATAGCATTGGGATGTCGAGCAATGGGCACGTTGATGGGACAGATTATATTAGCTGTCTATAGATGGTAGATATTAAGGGTGAAAAATGCAGATGGGTTGAAAGCGCATTCATACTATACGATATTCATTAGAGCTTATAAGCTAGCCTAGTACCAATATTAAGTGTACATACGTGTTTATCAATGTCAGAAACATTGTAAAGTTCCTTCGCCATTGCTTTCGTAAACAGACCATGCAGCCTCACAAGCCCTTAAGGCTCTACCCGTAGGATTCGATATAATTTGCATCAAGCATTTCTCATTTCGCACTGAATCCTTCAAGCCAGAGTGAAATCCCGAACCAAAGCCGATGACCGCAAGGTTGAGCCGACAACACACAAAATGCCTAGAGGGCGACGCCACGCCAGAAGGATGCTTGTTATCCCGTATCTATACGTAGCTTACATTACCAGTTAACGAAATACTTCTCATCTAATAAGTATCCAGCCATCTCACAACCTTAGCATAACACCACGAAGAAACAATGTAGACGACGACAGCGGAAGCAAGTAGCGAGAACAGCGCCGCGCGTTCGACTCTTCCCGGCGCCCTCAGCCTCCCCTCTTGCGCCGGCGCCGGACCACGCACGGTTGTCGTCCGGTTGAATGAGGGCATGTACTTGAAGTTAAACTTGGTCGTGTAGCCCAGCGCGCCTTTAGACTTGTTCTGTAGTAATACTTTGTATAGGGCCATACGGACTAGCTATAATATCAAAATGGTTAGTGAGTAGTGCCTATCGCGATCGTTAACGCAGATACGCGGGATAAGGGGGATACGTGGAGAGGTAAGCGGTGCGGAGGCGCAGATCACTTGGTCGCATACATCCCTGATGTAGAAGGATGACATCGAAGAAAGGATTATCCACTTGAGCAGCGTGGGTTTGCTATAGCTATGATGACTTGGGTGGTGGGAGGCGAAGTGAGACTACGAGGACACAGCCCCCGTCACGGGACTGGAATGAACTTCGAGAGTAGGTACATATGTAGGTCAACTCACCTTGATGTTCCGTTCGTCTAGATAGCTGATACTTCGGTTGACATAACTAAGCGTCGCAAAGAGAATGCACTGCCCAACCACGAGGGCGGTGTAGTACAGACTCGGCTCCTCGATCCCTAGCTCCTTTGACAGCTCCCGTCCGTTGAGCCAGTACGTCTGGGCACACAGGAATTCCCTCGGGGCATACGTCGGCGGTTGGTCCTGAAGCCCGGAGATGATGTTGTTGGCGAGGTTTGCAGACGCCTTGCTGGGCTTGATCTCTGCCACCAACAGCGACTCCATCATGCGCCTCGCTGATTCGGGCGTGGACATCCAGTCGTGAGGCGCGCCCATGAGATAAGCCACGTATCGCCAGAGCGCGAGGTAATCGGCAATTTCTTGTTTCCGCAGCCATATGCCTTGTCGTGGAAGGCCCATCCATATCATGGTTGCTGAAAACGTATTGATAGTGCCGATACAGTCGAGGTCGTTGATCGGTACGCCATACGTCTTCATGTCGTAGTACCTAGGCTCCTTCTCAGCCATGTGCATAATACGCCGGCGTACCGCCGCGTGGAGCAGTCGGACTCTAACCGAATCTGCAAAACCATCGCCGCCCGGTTTTATAGATTCTAGGTTGTGGGTTACATTCAGAATATGCTGTGTGGTTTCTAGCAGGCGCCGTCTGACAGCGTCCACACCGAAACCTCCAGTGCGGTCGAGAGTCTCGACGGTTCGCCCGCTCCCCATTCCGCCCAGCAGAGATAGGAATGTCAACTAAGCCTGTATATTAATAACTATTTGATCAGCTAAAGAAATTTTCGACTTACGGTTGTTATGACTGCCCCTCCGTAGCGATAAAACACCTTCTGCCCCCTTTCTATTTGCTCCCAGTCAACCCAGTCTGGAATAGTATTAATCTCGTTCCATAGTCTGCCGATTTTGTCGTCGGTGAAAGCGTGCTCTTGTAGCAACTCATAGAGATCTCGTCTGGCTTTCTTTTTTCCTGGTGCACTATCTGCGTTCTGAGAAGGCTTTGTCTTGCAAGACAAGGGCCATATTTCGTTTAATTTCGCGAGAGCCTCTGTAGAAATGGTGTCGTACGTACGTATCAAGGGTTTTAAATCGTCTGCTGTGAGATGCTCTGGTGTCCAGTTGATTTTGACACCCCAACATTCCCGCCAGCCATAATTGTTGCTTTCTGTATTATTGTTTGCAGTCACCATGATAAGTCTTGTCTACCTGGCCAAGATATAATAGTTAATTATTTGGACAAAGAAATTGGAATATTTAGCCTCATAGGATAATGAAGGTGTCAAAATGAATTATCAATATAAGGAATAATTATGAATGGCTTGGGTTGATATTGATATAGGCTTCAGAACATGAATCCTATTAAAGCATCTTACCTGGTATATTGATATCATCTAGAGAAGCTGTGGTATTGATGCTAGGAATGATGTTGATTGGTTTAAGTTTTCTAATGCTGGCCGAAGACCGGTAATTTATATGCCATTGCTTATGTAGCTACCACAACAAAGTCAAAATCCCATCATTAACATCATAGCTACTATCCAGGCGTTGTTGAGTAAAGGGGGACGAGTCAGTACGTATCTATGTACCTTGCATTTCCTCTCCCCACAGGTATCCACATAACCTTAAAATAAATGGGCCTAGCAGGCGGAAGGTCCGTGCTTTCGGAGCCCTGCAGAACAATTTCTAACTTAGAAGGCAAACCTAAAAAAAAAAAAAATATTAATTTTTCATCTCAGCCTTCTATTCCCTCGTCGCAACTAACCATTCAGCACCGGAGGAATATGATGAGTTGCTCGTGTCGCACGACATCTTTGAAGATTTTCGTACAGAGTCTCACGGAACTTCGACTATCTAATTCTGCTAGGCAAATCCAACCGCGATATTCGAGAGCCAGTAACTTTCAGTCGCAGTTGGCTTTTGCTAGACCATATAGTGTCACCGCAGCCTTACGCTTCCCGCGACAAATATTGCATCGACGGGCCTCGCATTCACTAGACGCCGATCAAACCTCGGAAATCACACCGAAAAAACATTCGGACAATGTTACGGTAGAGGAGCCCGATGTACCAGTGCTTAATGTCTCTGCAGACATTTTAGACCGGGCGAAAAGTGAAGGTGCAATCCTTGACTTCACCCCCGAATCTATCGACGCCCTCGTTTCCAACTTAGACAACCCACAAACCGGTGCTCGTGGCCGGCGAGACAAACATGCCGAGTCTGACGCCCGTCGCGAGTCGAAATCGGACTCTGCACCACCCGTCGAGACCAAGAGGTTGAAGAGACTGAAGATCATGAAAGACGAGCCTAAGACAGCGTCTAATACGCTACCACCCATTAAGAAGGAACCATGGCAGATACAAAAAGAAATCCTCAAGGAGAAGTTCCCAGAGGGTTGGAAGCCGCGCAAGCGGCTGTCGCCAGATGCCCTCGAAGGCATCCGGGCGCTGCACGCGCAATTCCCGGAGGACTACACGACGGAGGTGCTGGCGAACAAGTTTATGGTGTCGCCGGAAGCTATCCGGCGTATTCTCAGGACTAAGTGGACACCTACCCCCGAGGAGGAGATGGACCGCCAGCAGCGCTGGTTCAACCGCGGCAAGAACATCTGGAGCCAGATGGCCGCGCTTGGAAAGAAGCCGCCTCGCAAGTGGCGTCGCGAGGGTATTGTTAGAGATCCTTCCTGGAATAGGCCGAGGGGACCGCGGACGCAACCTCCAAGGCAGTCGAGGAAGTATAGAGAGTTTGAGTAATTACTTTGCTCGAGGGATAGGAATGCCCGTATATTACGCCACTCGAATAATGGAAATCTAGCTCGCATTCGAATTATACCATAGTGAGGACTATATGACCTACGGTCGCATCGTGAATGCTTGGACCTCGGTGGGGGTGGGAAGTACCATATCAAAATAAACCATAAAACATTCACATTAGAATATGGATACCTCAATATGTTTTCGTATTGTTTGTTGTACAAACATTAAGATCTTCGCACTGAGATTTGGCAGTCTATTGGATGCCCACTATTCCCAAAAATTTATTCGGATACTCCATTTTGACAATGGGGCTGGCGGATTGTAAATCTCTATGCATTATGCAAAGAATAGACAATGCCTATGTAAGTGATTGTCATGCACAAAGAGCAGATCATCAATGCGTCCCCCATTTCTTATAGTTGCCAGTCAGCTGTGAATACCTTTCTAAAATATCTGAGGACAGTCGAAAGCCTGCATGATAATAACATGGGGTAGAAATCAGTTTATTGCATTGTGTTACTTTTATAAGTGTAGATTACGATACCGGTAATAAATATAATAGTGATTAGTAGGCTATTATTAAGATCCAATTACGTAAAGGTATACAGACACGAATATATAGAACTGAGAACTACATATTTGGCAATCAGCGGTTGAATCCTAAGATGCCACCAACTTTGAAAATCAAAATTTTCTGTCCTTGCTATGATATTCATGTTGAAGATGTGTGGCATCTGCATTGCTTAAGCGGATGGGGATATCGAAAAGCTTACCTAAAACAGGTGACACTGCTACCAACCCTCGGGGAGCTTCATGGGGCCCTTGTCATTTCCTACTTCATCGGTTGGATCGGTTTTGCGGCCGTGCGTTGCTGCATTGCCGAACGCGGTCTATCTAGGGGTCTATCTAGGTTTGGCATCCTGGTACCACGAGACATGTACGGATCCGTAAGTTACACGATAACGGTCTTTTATTCTGGAAACCGGACGCTTTTTACTTTTTTACTCGAGTAAGTTCCTCGATATATTCTATTATTAGGAAATGTCAAAGTATTGTGTAATTGTAATATACGAAGACCTATTTATAAAGCATACAAAGGGGCATTGATAGGACAAGTAAGGTAGGTAGCTTTGGTAAAAAGAAAAAAGAAAAAAGAAAAAAGACGTGTAACATTAATGAAGTTGATGTGATATCCCCCTGTCGACTTGCAGCCTCACGGAGCTGTATGCGGATTAGGCTAACAACGGTACGTGCATGTAATGACCTCTTAGGGAACTCGTCACACCAAAAGCAGTTAGATGATCCGCAAAATTTCAGGAACAAGCCAATCATAATAGTTTCTCGGTTTCTCCCCGTTAGTTGACTCGCTCTTGCTGAACTGTGAAAAAAAGACAACCTAATAAACCCACATTAAAGAAAGGTCGGGGGGTTGGGTTTCCATTTTGTATGCTCACTTTGTATGTTCAAGACCCAAAATTCTCACCTTCACACCTTATATTTCCAATCACTAGAGGTCCGACTTATTTTTGAAAGGACCGACCTGCATCAATGGTCATTCTTTATAAACGCTCTTGACACTAGGTGCCAAGTTGTCGGACTTAATAGGGCACTTAATACGCTAATACAGAATACGGCGCTTCGTTGGCTTTGTTCCATCTCCATCTTTCCATCTCAGCTTACATGCAGCCCTAAAAAGACTTCCTCAGCTGTTTTCTTTTCACGTCACTGTAAGTCATGGGTGACAATGTCTCGCCGTGTAGCTTCCAATTGACATTGTTATAGCATTTGACCCTTTCAACTTTCCCTCGCCTTTCCTAATATATCCCTTATCTATTCCCCTCCGCCAAGGAATAATAGAAACACTTTTTGTTTTCCTTTTCCTCCTTGCTGTCTCTGTCTTAGACTATCTGTGTTGAGCTGTTAGCTATCTGCGCCATCTCATATTTTCCTTATCCACAAGACCCTCCCCCATGACACCTCACCGCATAGAAATTTCCAGCACCATCAATATTACTTGAAAGAAGAAGAAGACGGTCTCTGAACCGATCTTCTTGTCAGCCTTATATAGCATCCTTCTAGGAAAATCAATGGCAAGAAGATGGCATCCACTCCTTCAAACCGGTTGAAATTGACTCCGTCAAATTCACCTTTTGTTCCACACTCTATTCGATCACCTCATCGCAGCAAAGCCTCCATAGATCCTCGCCTTTCTCTGAAGCGCGTTGTCGGTACCACCTGTGCCGCGCCCACAGGTTTTGATACCGTACGCTCTTCGTTTGCATACATCGCCGGCGGAGCTGTAGTTGTAGTCGACGTCAACGGGGCTGAATATACCCAACGTTTCTACCGAGCCCGCCCTTCTGCAGTTCCTGTTTACAATACGCCTCCGCTTCCTTACTCCCCATCGGCACCGAACCAAACTCCAAAGGCGAACGACAGCCGGAATAGGTCTTCGTTGCGAGAATCAACACACAGCTCCCTTGATTGGACCGAATCCCCCACGTCATCGAAGACGTGGACCAGTCGAGAGCGGATCAAGGCCGCAACGTGTTTAGCTCTTAGCAAAGAGGGGAGGTTCCTAGCTGTTGGCGAAACTGGCTATGCTCCTCGGGTGCTCATTTTCAACCTGGAAGATAACTCGTCCGACACTCCACTCGTCTCCATTAGCGAGCATGCGCATGGGGTTAAGGCCGTTGCTTGGTCCCCCGATTCCAAGTACCTGGCCTCTCTCGGAACTGCACACGATGGCTTTATCTACATTTGGAAAATAGACACGAAAACTGGCGCTGCACAGCTATTTCAGCAAAACAGATGCACATCTTTCATCCGTGGCATGGTATGGGTGGGAAATAATCTAATCACTTTGGGTGTACGCCATGTAAAAGTGTGGAAGGTTGAAGAGAGCCAATCGGTGTCTCCTATGAAACAGAAGTTCACCGGAGATTCGAGCTCGACCAATCAGCAGCATCAAAAGACGTTACTTGGTCGGAATGTTATACTTAATAACATGATAGAAGCGACTTTTTCGTGTGGTGCTGCTATCGACGATACGAAAGCTATCATCTGCTCAGAGACGGGCGATGTATGTCTCTTCGACGACACGGATAAGCAGATGAAGTTGACCAATGTCCTCGAAAGTGGATTTGCGACGACTTGCGTGGCGATCCGTGGAGATACTGCTTACCTCGGTGGTAAATCGGGAAACCTAGCAACCATCGACTTGGCATCTTTCGTGAAATGTGATCAGAATGCCCTTCGCACAAACATTGGCTCGTTTGCGGGCCTCTTTGCTATAGGATTTCTGGAGGAAAATATGGTAACAGTTGATGCCAAGCGCTCTATCCATATCTGGGGACTTGATAAGGTCACAGACACGCTAGACCTAGAAACCCCTCCTATACCAATGCCAGGACACCAAGAGTCGATTCTAGGTGTCGAAGCTCTTCGCCGCCCGACTGGATTCGACGCCGATTTCTTCAGTTGGTCGGCATCAGGCCAAGTTATACTATGGGACGTCGAGGGTAAAATCAAATGCTCTTTTCAGGTGCCACTCGAAGAGGCAAATTTTGAAGAAGAGCCTGACCTAGTGAATCAGTTGAATCTAGTACGGGCTACCGAGGGTGGCAAGTACTTTGTCACGGGTGACAAGCTGGGAATTGTTAAGATCATCGACTTCGCAACCTTGAAATGCGTGTCAACTATGAAAGCCCACGCTTCAGATTGCCAGTTTATTACCACATTTGAGGACAAATCCAAGTTTATCATTGCAACCTGTGGTCGTGACCGTACAGCACAGTTGTTCCACAGGACGACCACTGGAGAGTTCAAACATTTCCAAACCCTTGAATTCGCTACTAGGGTTGTTCAAGTACTCGTTCCATCAGCGGATAAAGTGATAACTTGCTCCCTAGACAGGACGTTGCAAGTCCACGATCTCGTAGAGAAAGATGGCGACCCGGATGTTATGGCGGCCATCCTCTCTAAAACTCTACCTTTGAAAGCTTCTCCGTCATCTATGACAATGGGCGCGGATGAGAAATCAGTGCTTGTCTCTCTACTGGACCGAACCATGAGTATATTTGACTTGGAGAGCGGAAAGCTTGCAAATTCATTTAAATGCATCGACGAAAGCGGAATCGAACCTGTAGTTTTGGATTCTCTCACTGCTCGGCCGGCTGTTGACAGAGAACCTACGTTCGTTATAGGCGTCTCGAACACAGACAAATCGATTAGAATCTATGACGCCCAAACGGGGACTTTCTTAGACCGTGAATGGGGACACACGGAAGCCATAAATGGCGTGACTTTAGTCGAAGAGGAGGATGGTAAGCTTAAGGTGGTAAGTGTTGGATCCGACGGTACTCTCATGGTCTGGGAAATGGACCTACAAGATCCGGCGTGGGGCGCCGCCACTCGCGAGCTATCTCTTGCCAAGGATAACTCCGTTGTTTCTCGGCCTACGCTTCGGCGCGTTCTCTCTAAAGCCGAGCTTGCGGAATTCCAACGGTCCTCTCCCTCGGCGGGTCGACGATCGCCTCCAAGAACTCTCGCCAAGAAGAGATCTGCATACAATCTAGCTTCCATGCCGTCATCGAAAACGCCTACCGCTACACCTCAAGCATGTCCTGCGTTAGCAATTTCTGGAGACACTCCAACCAGGCGGCCGTCAACAGATAGCCGGTACTGTAGCCCACCATCTAGCCCAAAAGCTAGAGTAAAGAGACAACCATCCCTACCATCTCTCAACTCTGCGAAAACCAAGAGCAATAACAACTTGAAAGGATTTGGAACCCTTACTATGGCTACAGAGCAGGCATGTCGGACGCTCCGAGCCTACCGAAGGAAATTAGCTTCCACAGACCCCATTAGCCAGGATGTCTTAGCCGAAATAGATCAGGAACTTCGCCTTACCTCTGTCGCTTTGGGTGACAGGGCCACGCGAAGCAAGGCCCTAAGCGAGACTATGCTAAGTGGCCTCCTGGACCAATATTCAGAACGCTTAGTTGCTCTGCTGGACGAAAAGCTTCGAGTCGGCTACAGAGGATCATCGGACCAAGAGCCGGATTCGCCGGGGATTTTGCCGGGAAAACGACCCGGTTCATCCGGGGGAGAGTCCAGTGCCGGCTCGACATAGTTGCGATATTCATTCTATAATGTGTATTAGTCGTGTTTTACATTAGAAACTACGCAGCATTAGGAGTAGGGATGGAGAAAGAATGTGGTCTTCGGAGACCTAAGGCGTTAGGTCTTGTTCGTTCATTTTTGAGGAAACGTCCAGGGGATAGACGTTCCGGGATGGTGACTATGGGGATATCAGAGGGCTCTTCTATCTGCCTATCGAGTCCATAACATGACTTCCTAACATGATACCACTTGGCAGGAGAAAACCCACGGGAGTTATAGGGCACAGCGCCGCGGCTGCGCGCTCGGAAGGGGAAGGAAGGGGACTTATTGTTATTATCACTTGAGATGAAGTTGCTTTGTTTAGATG